GCTGCCATTTAATATATAGCATTTATATGCTGGAGGAGATAAACCAAAGGATTTTTTTACAAGTTCCTCTTAGATTAAGTATTTGTGCTGTTTCTGCAGCATATAAACACAACATAATTTTCATGCACTTCTATATGACCAGTAAAGCATGGTGAGTCTGGCATTGTTCCACACAGAGGTGATCTTAGTCTCTGCCCCCTCAGGTAGGTCCCTTACCTGACGGCCTAATGAAAGGGGCAGAACCTACCTGAGGGACAGAGTCTAGTGTGTACTTATCTGCACCTACCCAGGATCGGCTTGGTTCTGCATTTAGTAAATAGCAGCAGCATTGAGAATTCAATATATACTGTACTATTTGTAGTCAGGCTGATTATATTTTGAAATACCATGCTGCATAGTGCGTGACATCACAATGTGCGTAAAAATCTGGGTGGGGCTGATACTGCGCCGTGCCGGGCCCCTTCTCTGAAATGACAGAAGAGGAACTGAAGATACCTAGACAGTACAGTTCACTCTCCCCAGTTCTACTCCAGACAAAACACTAAATTTAAAGATGTCAAATTTCACAGTAGCCACAACTAGCAGCCGCTGCACAGGAGTGTAACTCCCAGTGATCTCAGGCAATCAGAACTTCCCTAAGATGAAAGAAACCCTACCTCTATTCGTAACCACCTCCTGCCCTAAATAATAACACCATCATGGGGTTCTGGAGATATCTGTAAACCAATGGACATTCAATCTCATGTTTTATAACAATGTTTTCAGAAACCTGAAATAGCATCATTCTCGTGTCTTACAGGGTCATTCTTCTGTTTTACATGTTTCTATGTAGATAATCATTCTCCATCGATGTACCAGCCAGCTGAACAAACACTGTGCAGTCCCTTCCTGAGTTCTGAATGCACTCCTTGGCTGTTTCTTGTGTCTGGGAGCACACGTTGCACTGTGTGACTGATTGAGCGTACACAGTAGATCAAACAATATGAAATTAAGTGGTGCGTACCTACTTCTGTACAGAATACAATTAGCTCGATAATGAGACATTGGCAGGGTTTCCACTAAACGAAGAAATGAGGAAAACTGACAGAGGGATTGCAAACTTAGATTAGACCAAAGTAGCTGAATTGGAAAAACCAATCCAACTCAACCATTTTTATTGCTCGGCTACTTTGGTCTAAAATTCTTTACATTTAAAAATTTAGTAAATGAAAAAAAATGTCACTTGGGCAATACAGAACAATTGTGCTATTTAAACGACATGAATCTCCCATGAATGGAAGAAAACTGTATAATATAAAAATGATATAAATCCGGAAATAATTAAACGTTATTATTTTCCTGCATTTAGAACGATAGTTGGTTATGGAAAGATTTTTGCTATATCCATATATTGATAAAAAAACAAAACCTAATATGCGTAATATATTTCACTGTCACATATTCTGACAATCATTTTTCCTCCAAAATACTGTGGATTGACAGGATGCAGTTTTTTTCATATATCCCGTGTCACAAGAAACATATAACCGGATATAAAAAAATAAAGGAATTGTGAATTATCTGCAGATTTCATCATTTTCATACTGTTTGCAGGGCTCAGACAATATTCGTTCGTACTTCTCAGCTGAGCTGGGTGAGATACAAACATTTCGAAAGTACCAAAAAACATTCTCGTCTTCATCTTCTCTCTGAATGCAGCTTACTTGTAAAGTCAAATATACCAACCAGAAAAGGAGATACACACTTGGAATGCACAATATCTGCAACCTCTATACCCCACTCAGATCACATTTACCAGGTGTGGGGTCATCAGCTGAGGGTACGATTGTGAGCCAGAAGATTCCTCATATTCTGTTTGATTGGTGGGTTCTAGAGACAGATTTGAAGTAGACTGATTGAGGTCAGTGGTTCCAAACTGAATCCTCCGAGCACACCAAGAGTTCATTGTTAAGACACTCACCGCCAGGTAGATGAAGCCACCGTTTAGTGAATAATCCCCTTCTCCAGAAATGCAGTTTATATCCAGCCGACCGCCAAACTCCCGAACGAAGTCCACAAATACGGCAACTCCCGATCAGCAAAACAGTCGAACGCCTTCCACAGCTAAAAATAACGAAAGCGCTGTCCCAGTAATAATTCCCCCACAAACGAGACCAAGCTCCGTCTTGAGGGTCAAATAAGGATCTCTTTAATGGGGGCTACCTGCCCGGTATTTATGCAGGTCTTCACAAGGTGGACACTCCCCGAGGGGACCTTGTGGAAGACTGTAAAATATATTATACAGTAGCCAATCGCAGTGGCTTCAATATAAGCCCTTCCCATCTTACCCATAAATCCGTCTTCTCTACCCCGGAGATAATTAGGAAGAAACCTAATTATCTCCCAGGGTAGAGACAATCGCCATTTTAAAATCTAGTAACAAAAATACATTAAAATACATAACTGGGAAAATACCGAATGGATATAGTTCGTATAACGTATCCCCAGACAGCCTGGATCTGAGTGCATATTTTCACCGAATAGCGCTCAGATCCGATGTATCTAGTCAAATCGCCATGGAGTCAAAGTCTTTCACCAGTCCTTCGGTATACGAATGACTCCATGGGACGGCTATCTGGGTAAAAGTCCATACGAATGCATAAAAACTCCCGAACGACCGGCGTTCGCATGCCTCGTCGAAATAGAAGGTGGGCATCAGCTTCCAGCGGTGTTCGGTAGATTAAAGTGTCCGTTTTTAGTTCCATACAATTTGTACCGAACACCGCTACGCTTTCGCGTGTCCCAAAATGGCCGCTGCCTCGTGGTCGACATGCGAACGACGACCACCCGTACGAATGGAATGGAGAGGTGTCTGCGGTTAACCACAACGTTCTAATTGGGGCCAAGAGGTTAACCAGCAGCACACTCCTCTCCTGGGTGGTCGTTCGTTCGGTAGTTTCAATCGGTAGTTTGTAATTACACGAACGGGGGTATACGAACAGGAAATCCAGCGAAACAAAGGGAAACAGATGAACCAGCAATACAGATGAATGTCACATTCATGATTTGTCAATATCTCCAATGGAAAAATATAAGAACATATTCACAAATAATGGTGCCCCAAGAAATGGGATGTCGGTGAGAAGGAGGAAAAGAGGCAGGACAGTGAAGTATGTGTGTCATTGGCTGCATCCAAAGGGGCAGGCACACACAGAAAGGGGACAGGTCCACCCAAAATACTGGCCGGTCAGCCTGGCATGAATGCCAATTAAGTAAACCAGCCTCCGGAGGGCAGGATATGCAGTTAGCACTGTTTCAGTGCTCTCTGTAGGTGCCTAGTGCGTAGCGTGCAGTGCAAGCATGTCTAATTATGCAAGCATGCTACACTTTTTGGGGACAGTTCAATGGTGTACCAGGGTACAAAGTTGAGATTTGTGGGTCTTGTCCCACTGAAATCAGGATGTTTGGGAGGCATGTATGAAGCTAAATCCCCGAGGGGTGGTAAAATTCATAGCTTGCTGAATTACACAATCTGTTATTTATTGTAGAAAAAGTACCGATTTCAACATAAATCAGCACTTTTATAAATTAACCTTGTTACACCTCCCAGGCTGTCAATCACACAACCGGGCCTGTTACTTCCTGGTTTGGTTAGCTCCATGGAGCTTAACTCAAAAGTCAGCAATTGCCCAGAGCACCTGCCTTTGAAGACTTCTCATTGAGCTGCATTGGGAAGTCTGTGATTGGACAGCAACAGAAAGTCTGGGTGGGGTTAGCAGGGGAGGGGTTGCAAAGGCTGCAGACAGGAGATCTGCTGTACTAATTATATCCCCCAATGATAAAAGGAATAATCAAATGTGTGAATATTATCATTGGGGTATATCTACTAAATTGTTAAAAATGTTTTGTTTTGTTTTCCATTTGAGTGTTCTTTTAATCTATTTATTATAAAAATGTGTTTCCTTAGATAATGTATGAAAAGAGACTGGCAGATGAGAGAAGGGGAAAAGAGAGGCGTACCAGCTGTTATAAGATAAGCCCCCAGTGGAAAAATGCAGGGGGTTGATTATATATTTCCTACCTGTTCTATGCTAAATTTTGTATATATTGTGTATTAATATTGTTTTTGTATTTTATTGTACCCTAATGTAACAATGCAATGATTTGTGGACCCAGGACATACTTGAAAACAAGAGAAATCTCAATGTATCTTTCCTGGTAAAATATTTTATAAATATGTAAAATATATAAATAATATATACTATATTGTAAAAAAAAAAATCAGAGTTTTACTTTGAAACGATAAGAAACGGGAAGTTGTAGATGATGAGCAATCTCAATCATAACAAAAAAGCTATAATTAAACTATAAAATGTATCTCCTTGTTGATGCCTTTTGGGTTTGATTAGTGAGATTTATCAAAGTGTCACAGAGAGTGTTACTTGTTATTGGAAAATGTATTTGGCGTTTTTTTGTGCTCCAGGGGGATTCCAGGTGAGTAAAAAACAGATTTGCTGCACAGTTTAGTGGGGAGTTGAGGGGTTAATGAATAGTATCCAATAGGACATTTTAAATAAAAAAAACAAAAAAACTGCAGTTAAAAAAAGTGTTGGTGTAACCCTTTAACCATATCACATCTGCCAAATGATATCAGAAAATATAGAAACAATTGTGAAGGAGAATAAAGTGTTGCACAGCCGAGAGAAGTAAATAATGATCTATATTTTTTGTGGAGGGGAAGAGGGGGGGTTTATGCTGAGCTTGAAATGGTTTTGGATTTTAATTCTTGATGAGCAATAAAGAGTTAAGATTAGCTTTGACATAATCTGGTCCTAGCACCACAGTGACCCCTTATAAATGGGCCATTTGAGAGGTGCTTTGATTGTGAGCCATGGGCAGGGGGATGTCTGTCTAGGTTGGGAGTGGAAAGGATGAGGGATGAAAGGGGGGGGTTACTGTGCCCAATTGGCTGCTGAGCTCCAATAGGCAGCCGCCCCATACTTCTGAATGCAGGCTGGCTTGGTGGCTCTGTTTAAAGTGCTGTAGCATTCTGTGTGTCTGTAGCCCCCTGTTAGACAGCGGTACCGGGAGAGGAGAGGAGACGAAGCAGGCAACGAGGAGAGAGACCGCTCTTCCAATGGCAAAGACACCCACAATTGTTTGCATGATTTGTATTGGTTTATCTGCAGTCTCCTGTGTTCCAGCGACCAACAGCGAAGGTAGGAAGCCCACTCGGTCTGTCAGAGAGAGACGCACAGCTTCGGATGCTAGTTTGGGACTCGCTTCTTGCAGAGCGATTTTATTTTATTTATTTATCAGTTCGTACACAGTGCTCTATCCAGTGACGTTATTTATTCATTGATTTCCGATAGCACCCTGAGCTCTAGAATTAAGGTGAAGTGTCCGTATTTTGCAGGTTTTATTCTGTTAGCTGTTTTTCTCACTTTGTGTCTCCATATGACGGAATAAGTTTTAAGGTTGTCAGATTAATGTGCGCTGATATTGCTGGGAAATCTCTCAGTACTTTACTAATAAAGGGTGATATTGTCTTCTTACTGAGCACTTTGGGATATTACTAGATGTTTAAAGATTTCTACAAATTGAATTGAGGTTTGATTTTTTTTTCTATTCAGCGCTTTGGAATATGTTTCTATGTAAAAATAGTGCTGTATGTATGTATCTATCTAGCTATCTGTCTGTCTGTCTATTCTATCTATCTATCTGTCTGTCTGTCTGTCTGTCTGTCTATTCTGTCTGTCTATCTATCTGTCTGTCTGTCTCTTTGTGTCTGTCTGTTAATCTGTCTTGCTAACAATACCAATCTGTATTTGTTGATCTGAGTTTTTCTATCTATCCATCCATCTATATATCTATCCATATCTCTCTCTCTCTCTCCTTCTCTCTATCTCTCTCTCTCTATCTATCTATCTATATATCTATCTATCTATCTATCTCTATATCTATCTATCCCTTTCTACCACTTTATCTATATATCGCGTTATCTATATATTGCTCTATTGCTATTTATCATCTATCCATCCATCTATCAGTCTATGAATCAGTCTTTCACAATCAATTATATTTGAATTATCTATCTATCTATCAATTTATCTATCTATCTATCTATCTATCTATCTATCTATCTATCTATCTATCTATTTATCTAGCTATCTATCTATATATCTATCTCTATCTATCTATATATCTATCTGTCTATGTCTATCTATCCATCTAGATCAATCTATCTGTGTATATCTGATTCTGTCGATATCAATCTATCTGTGTCTATCCAAACTCTCTCTCTCTCTGTCTGTGGTTTTCTAGTTATCTATCAATGTTCCTTCATACATCTGCTGTATATTATTTGCTAGATAATACATAATCAGGGCAAGTTTTCTAAAGAATGCTGCCCTCGGAATATCAAGGCATTTCTTTTTAGAGGTGTCAATGTGCTTCTGCCTTTGGACAAAGTTTGGTCACATTGTTTCTTGACATCTGAACTGCTTTGAAGCTGGATAAAATATTTGCAGCCTCTATACATGTCCGTCTCTTCTTCTCTCTTGCCTGGGGCAACAAGGTGGGAGGAAGTCCTCTGATCTGAGAACAATGCTACTAAACTTGATATCGCTGGTAGATGACTTTCACATAATTAAGAAACATCATAACTGTGACTCCCATGGGAGAAAAAACACCCAACATCTACTAGCGAGACCTTGTTTTTTCAGAATATGGAATAAATATTAAAAATGCCAGGGTAATTATTTACTTGGATATATGTCAGTTATTAAATAAAGTGTCCATAGGAAGTTTGGGACATATCTGCGTAGATTTGAATATAATGTATACAATTTGTAAAGAGAATATAAACAATGTAGATATATTTCATAGAGAGAATGGGCTCTGTACAGCAGAGATTTTATAAAGATATACAATGTATATAGACTCCTTAGATAATGGGCTCTATACGGTAAGGGATTTACAGAGAATATATACAATGTCTATAGACTCCTTAGATAATGGGCTCTATACGGTAAGGGATTTACAGAGAATATATACAATGTATATAGACTCCTTAGATAATGGGCTCTATACGGTAAGGGATTTACAGAGAATATATACAATGTATATAGACTCCTTAGATAATGGGCTCTATACGGTAAGGGATTTACAGAGAATATATACAGTGTATATAGACTCCTTAGATAATGGGCTCTATACGGTAAGGGATTTACAGAGAATATATACAATGTCTATAGACTCCTTAGATAATGGGCTCTATACGGTAAGGGATTTACAGAGAATATATACAATGTCTATAGACTCCTTAGATAATGGGCTCTATACGGTAAGGGATTTACAGAGTATATATAAAATGTATATTGACTCCTTCGATAATGGGCTCTATACGGTAAGGGATTTACAGAGAATATATACAGTGTATATAGGCTCAACAGTTTGTAGAGAGTCCACAGAAACCATGGTTCTTCCTAAATAGGAAAATGTCTACTATGTAAATAGAGTCCGCGAGAGCAAGCGCTGTATACGTTAAATAAGGAGAATGTATACAATGTATATATAGTACTCAGAAAGAGGTTTATATTCAGGGAAGAAAGAATATAAAAAACAATAGTGCATAGAGAGTGCATAGGAAGTGCTAAATGAGTCCAATAAATGTACACAGTGTGTTAATGTATAGAGTATATTCACAGGATTCACAGGAGGCCTGGGTTGTTTTCCTTGAATAATGTATAGAGCATATACAGAGAGATCACATTGGTCATGTTTAGTAAATATACACAGTAATGATGTACGAAGTGTACGCAGAGAGAGTCTTCAGAATTCATGGATCATGTTCAGTAAATATACACAGTAATAATGTGCAGAGCATATACAGAGAGAGTCTGCAGAATTCATAAACCATGTTAAGTAAATATACACGGTAATATTGTAAAGAAAGTATACTGAAAGTGACCGCAGGAGGCATGGGCTGTACTTATTGACTATACACAGTAATAATGTACAGAGTGTATACAGAGAGAGTCTGCAAATTACATGGGCTGACCTCAGTAAATATACACAGTAAACTAATATTGTATAGAAAGTATACAGAAAGTGACCGCAGGAGGCATGGGCTGTACTCAGTAAATATACACAGTAATAATGTACAGTGTGTATAGAGAGAGAGACAGCATATTAAATGGGATGTACTCAGTAAATAAACACAGTAATAATGTATAGTGCGTATACAGAGATAGACGGCAGGAGGCATGGGCCATGTTCAGTAAATATACACAGTAACAATGTACAGAGCGCATACTGAGAGAGACGGCAGGAGGCATGGGCCATGTGCAGCAAGTGTACACAGTAATAATGTATAGTGCGTATACAGAGATAGACGGCAGGAGCCATGGGCCATGTTCAGTAAATATACACAGTAATAATGTACAGTGCGTATACAGAGATAGACACAGGAGGCATGGGCCGTGTTCAGCAAATATGCACAGTAATAATATACAGAGCGTATACAGAGAAATGGCAGTATACATGGGCCGTGTTCAGTAAATATACAGAGAGCGTATACAGAGAGAGACAGCATAGTACATGGGATGTACTCAGTAAATATACACAGTAATAATATACAGAGCGTATACAGAGATAGACGGCGGGAGGCATGGGCCATGTTCAGCAAGTATAAACAGTAATAATGTTTAGTGCGTATACAGAGATAGACGGCAGGAGGCATGGGCCATGTTCAGTAAATATACACAGTAATAATGTACAGTGCGTATACAGAGATAGACGTCAGGAGGCATGGGCCATGTTCAGTAAATATACACAGTAACAATGTACAGAGCGCATACTGAGAGAGACGGCAGGAGGCATGGGCCATGTGCAGCAAGTGTACACAGTAATAATGTATAGTGCGTATACAGAGATAGACGGCAGGAGGCATGGGCCATGTTCAGTAAATATACACAGTAATAATGTACAGTGCGTATACAGAGATAGACGGCGGGAGGCATGGGCCATGTTCAGTAAATATACACAGTAACAATGTACAGAGCGCATACTGAGAGAGACGGCAGGAGGCATGAGCCATGTTCAGCAAGTGTACACAGTAATAATGTATAGTGCGTATACAGAGATAGACGGCAGGAGGCATGGGCCATGTTCAGCAAATATGCACAGTAATAATGTACAGAGCGTATACAGAGATAGACGGCGGGAGGCATGGGCCATGTTCAGCAAGTATACACAGTAATAATGTATAGTGCGTATACAGAGATAGACGGCAGGAGGCATGGGCCGTGTTCAGCAAATATGCACAGTAATAATATACAGAGCGTATACAGAGAAATGGCAGTATACATGGGCCGTGTTCAGTAAATATACAGAGAGCATATACAGAGAGAGACAGCATAGTACATGGGATGTACTCAGTAAATATACACAGTAATAATATACAGAGTGTATACAGAGGGAGACAGCATAGTACATGGGATGTATCCAGTAAATATACACAGTAATAATGTACAGTGCGTATACAGAACTAGACGGCAGGAGGCATGGGCCGTGTTCAGCAAATATACACAGTAATAGTATACAGAGCGTATACAGAGAAATGGCAGTATACATGGGCCGTGTTCAGTAAATATACAGAGAGCGTATACAGAGAGAGACAGCATAGTACATGGGATGTACTCAGTAAATATACACAGTAATAATATACAGAGCGTATACAGAGAGAGATGGCAGTATACATGGGCCGTGTTCAGTAAATACACAGAGAGCGTATAAAGAGAGAGACGGCATATTACATGGGCCGTGTTCCGTAAATATACACAGTAACAATGTACAGAGCGTATACAGAGAGAGTCGGCAGATTACATGGGCTATGTCAGTAAATATACACAGTAACAATGTACAGTGTGTATACAGAGAGAGTCGGCAGATTACATGGGCCGTGTTCAGTAAATATACACAGTAACAATGTAAATTGCATATACAGAGAGTGTCCACAGGAGGCATAGGTTGTGTTCAGTAAGTACACATAGAGCACATAGTTTCTTCATGTCTATGCGTTGGGTTTCGGAGCTCTTACTGTACACATTAAACATACACTGGATACTCCTAGTGAATTATAAGGATCGGGCAGTTTAGCTGCCTGTGATGATATAATCTTTGTTTCTATCTGAATGTCTGCATTTGCTTTGGGAACATGTATCCAGAGGACTCCGAATGTTTCATTTGAAGTTCTCTTGATGTCCCTGTAACATGTTTTTCATCATCACGCGCTTTAAATAATATATTTCACAGAACTCAGCAAATACATCAACTTGTAGTGCAGCCAAAGTCTGTGCAGGGGCGCAATAAACTGCGGACACGTAATAAACTGCGGACACGCAATATACTATCTGCATGACTGTGCATGCACGCAATACAAGACGGCAATACATTGCATGTATACAATGCACTATCTCCATGTCTGTGCACGCACGCAATATACTGCAGGCATGCAATACACTTTCTACATGTCTCTGCATGCATAGAATATACTGTCTGCAAGTCTATGCAAGCAGGCAATATATTTTGAGCATTACAAAGTATGTTTCTCAGTCATTCAATACACTAGGTGTGTGTCAGCCATGTAATACACTGTTTGCATGTAACAGCCATACAATACACTGTGTGCATGTCACAGTCATGTAATACACCGTGTGCATGTCACAGCCATGTAATACACCGTGTGCATGTCACAGCCATGTAATACACCGTGTGCATGTCACAGCCATGTAATACACTGTTTGCATGTAACAGCCATACAATGCACTGTGTGCATGTCACAGCCATGTAATACACTGTGTGCATGTCACAGCCATGTAATACACCGTGTGCATGTCACTGCCATGTAATACACTGTGTGCATGTCACAGCCATGCAATACACTGTCTTTAAGTCTCAGCCATGTAATACACTGTGTGCATTTTACAGCCATGTAATACACCGTGTGCATGTCACAGCCATGTAATACACTGTTTGCATGTAACAGCCATATAATACACTGTGTGCATGTCACAGCCATGTAATACACTGTGTGCATGTCACAGCCATGTAATACACTGTGTGCATGATACAGCCATGTAATACACTGTGTGCATGTCACAGCCATGTAATACACTGTGTGCATGTCACAGCCATGTAATACACTGTGTGCATGATACAGCCATGTAATACACCGTGTGCATGATACAGCCATGTAATACACCGTGTGCATGTCACAGCCATGTAATACACTGTGTGCATGATACAGCCATGTAATACACCGTGTGCATGTCACAGCCCTGTAATACACCGTGTGCATGTCAAAGCCATGTAATACACTGTGCATGTATGAACCATGTAATTGTGTAATTGTGTTCATGTCTCAGCCATGTAATACACTGTGTGCATGTCTCAGCCATGTAATACACTATGTGCATGTATCAGCCATGTAATTGTGTGCATGTCTCAGCCATGTAATACACTGTGTGCATGTATCAGCCATGTAATACACTGTGTGCATGTCACAGCCATGTAATACACTGTGTGCATGTCACAGTCATGTAATACACTGTGTGTATGTCACAGCCATGTAATACACTGTGTGCATGTCACAGTCATGTAATACACTGTGTGCATGTCACAGCCATGTAATACACCGTGTGCATGCCACTGCCATGTAATACACTGTGTGCATGTCACAGCCATGCAATACACTGTCTTTAAGTCTCAGCCATGTAATACACTGTGTGCATTTTACAACCATGTAATACACTGTGTGCATGTAACAGCCATATAATACACTGTGTGCATGTCACAGCCATGTAATACACTGTTTGCATGTAACAGCCATATAATACACTGTGTGCATGTCACAGCCATGTAATACACTGTGCATGTATCAGCCATGTAATACATTGTGCATGTATCAGCCATGTAATTGTGTTCATGTCTCAGCCATGTAATACACTGTGTGCATGTCATAGCCATGTAATACACCGTGTGCATGTCACAGCCATGTAATACACTGTGCATGTATCAGCCATGTAATTGTGTTCATGTCTCAGCCATGTAATATACTGTGTGCATGTCTCAGCCATGTAATACACTGTGTGCATGTATCAGCCATGTAATACACTGTGTGCATGATACAGCCATGTAATACACTGTGTGCATGTCACAGCCATGTAATACACTGTGTGCATGTCACAGCCATGTAATACACTGTGTGCATGTCTAAGCCATTCAATACATTGTGTGTTTGTCTCAGCCATGTAATACACTGTGTGTATGTATCAGCCATGTAATACACTGTGTGCATGATACAGCCATGTAATGCACTGTGCGCATATCTTAGGCACTCAATACATTGTGTGTTTGCCATGTACCAACACATTTTTATCAATCAGTTAGTCTGTCTGTCTGTCTGTCTATTTGTCTGTCTATCTATCTATCTATCTATCTATCTATCTATCTATGTATCTGTCTGTCTATCTATCTATTTATTTATCTATCTGTCTGTCTATCTATCTGTGTTAGGCTTGGAGGTTAGTTTTGGACCAAATTACAATTTTCCCAAGTTTGGGCCGATCTGGTGATTGGCAGAAGTCCTGAACTCTGAGCCAAAATATTCCCAAATTACAAACTAATTGTGTGTAAAGCATAACATTTTTGGGGAGGTGGGAATCAATATACTAAATTGAACCCACAGTACCAAAAAAGGTTTTGAAAAAAATAATTATTAATGTAAGAAAACATTGACTGTTGGCAAAAAAAAGCGCCATTAAATGCTGATTTTATTCACAGATCAAGTGAGTGCAGATCCATTTAATAGATATATAAGATATAAAGATAGATTATTATTTACTGCTCCTCTTCCCTCTACCTATCCCTCAGTCGCAGTACGTCAATCAGTGAAATCTCAGGGACGCACAAAGAATGACAACACTGTAATGTCTGGTATCAGCTGCGAAACTGAATTATGCAAGTTTTAAATGAATCTCATTTAATAAAGTGATTACACACTGATATCATCAGAAAATTATTACACAGTAAAATGTGCCTTTCTTCCAATTGTGACATTTATAGAATAAAGGTGTATCGATCATTATCCCATCGATAGCCCATAGAGTTCTGAGTACTGAGGTTGAGTCATTGTGAATGGATAGATACATTCCATAATGTGGTTGTGTTAATAATTTGTGTAGTTACACGTGTCAGTTCGCTTTGGACACTTTTTTAGACGTAAATTAAATTACTGTCTATTTGATCAATTGTTCAGCAATATTTTGTTACTGTCAGGAATATTGCCTGACGCTATAGTATGAATTGTTGGGTATCCAAAGTAAATTCAATGCTATGCCAAAATCGTCAGCTTTGATATAAAGTTGATTTTGAGATTTTTTTTAGATTCAGAGAATTTTTAATTCTCCTAAAATCTTCAATTCTGTCTGTAACCACTTTGAAGTTGCATGTTACTGAATAACCCTACTGTTTTTTACATAATTATTCACAAGATTCTGTTATGTTTTTTTATAAGTTACTATGTATTGGTTTTCTCTTTACTGAGATTGTGTTACTGTGTGTATTATGTAATTTCAGTAGTGCAGTTGTCTTATTGTGTGTATTTGATAACTTTTTCAAGGAAAGTTATGTAATTGCGTCAAGTTAGCTATTTTCTTTTTGTTAAATTATAAAATGATTTACTATACAATGTGGTTAGAGACAAGTGGTTCATATTTATATACATACAAGTGATACATACATACAATTAAACAAAGCTACAATCAACAGCGCGATAATATAATAAAAAAAAATATATATATATATATAAAACAGCTATTTAAATAATCTAATCTTAAACCTTTAATAGCATATTTTTACCTTTATCAGTTTTGCAAAACAAAAGTCATAAAAATACTACAGGAATGATTATCAACTTTTAGATAAACACATTTCTCTGCCAGTATCTCATTCCACCAATTTATCGTCTGCAAATGGGCTACAAATGACAGTCCACCTGTTATCTGCAAATAGTAAAGGGAGTTCAGAATACTATAACAGAACATTTTCCCTACAATAATTTTGGAAATATAGGAAGATTGCCATAACACTTTTTCAATATATATGTATATATATATTTTTTAGAATACAAAGTGGTCGCTAATTAATGGGTTACGATCCCACAGCGACTTTATTGTGATTAGTTATTCTTTTCGAAAAGTTTTAAATGAATCTGGCTTTGGAGCAAATTAGCAAATAATGCAAGAGAGACTGAGAACAATCTATTACAATGTTGTGTAAAGTGGGATTTGCATAATAAAGACATATTCTAAATAAAATACATTAAGTAACCTAATTCGAAAAAATAATATATTCACAAGAGGACAGAGTCTAAATCTAGAGGGTGTCAGGATTAAGTGTAAAGTGAGAAGATATAATGGCATTGGCAAAGTAGTGGTTACACGCAGACGCCTTCCATCCAAGGTGGTAGATACTAAAACACTGAATAATATATCATACACGGGATTGATTACAGCGCTATCCTGTTACAGGTGTGGTGGGTAGTGCAAATTTACATTCCAGCAGAAATGGTAGTGGTTATTAATGCATTAAAAATAATATAAACAAATGGGATACACATAGAGCTATAGTACACTGATGGAGTAGTGGATACATAGATTCACCTTGCAGCAGAAATGGTAGGGGTTATTAATACAGTTAGATGTGAAATTTGATACATTTAAATTCACTGCTATGCCATTCCATGACTCTCCAGACTTGCAATGCTGAGCAACTTTTAAAGTCTGGCTAGCAGCTTAAAACCTGAAGAATTTAGCCTTGTGAACATGATCCAGATAAAACTATAGTGCTCAGATATGGCGGTGAGTTCATTTAATCACCTTCCAGCAGAAGCGGTAGATGTTAAAACAATTAGTGAATTTAAACGTAGCTGGAAGATGCAGCATAGAGCTGTACTACATTGAAAGAGTAGTGTATACCTGGAATTGGTTCTCAGCAGAAGTTGCAGTTACGAAATAAAAGAAGACAGTAAAAGAAGTAAGATTGTCCGAAAAAACTTGATCTGGCGCACGGACAAGTTGAGGTCACTTTCCCAGACACCCCGCTTTGAGAGAACCCACAATGAAATTCACATATGTGAGCTTTTTACCGTTGGTATTTTGCAATGATCACATTCCTAGTGATCAAGCGGCTGGTCCACGAGTCACGTATTCATTCATCTCAGTCAGTGCTCCCTTGCGGCCCAATAGACACAGAAGTTAGGGGAAACAGAAAAACTAAATAGCCAACAAAAATTAATACTGTGTAAATAAATGGGCAATTGAGTTAATTTTGTTTTCTACCATTTAACTTTTATTATTCTTCCAGATAATGTAGACAAAATTGAAGAATAAGAATAATGCACGCTAATGGTAGATAAAAAAAATGAAGTCAGCTTATATTAAATACAAATTAGCCAGGGAAAAATTGCAAAATTAAACAAATAACCAAATTAGCAGGGACATTTCCAGAATTGTCCAATTAGAAAAAAAATCTCAGCTCCATTTAGTTTTTTACATTCACCTCTTTAGCCCCAAAATTGCAATTTTCTTCTCAATTCTCCACAGTTGTTTTAGAGAATAAAACCACAAAGACACCGGATTGCATTCATCCACAGCACACAAGGAAGAATTGCACAGCAAGGGTGAAGAGTAACGTTTATGGGAAGGCTTTTATATTGTCTACAAACAACACTGGACATTGCTCGGCACTGGAGATGGGTCAAACCAACACTCTCAAAAGGTTATTCAATAAAGTGAGAAGTCAAATGAGATTTCAAATGTAAAGTAGCAGAACTGCAGAAATAGCTAAGTTGGAGAATTGTTACAGTTTGGCTATTTTGCTATTACATTTGAAATTTACTTTGAATTCACCTTAAATTCTCAGCTTGGTGAATAGCTCCGTTAGATTATTGTCTCTGACCAAACTTGGATATGTTAAGCAGAAGTGAACCACTAGCCAGGTGTTGGTGATGGACTGAGTTATAGGCTCTGGGAGAGTCTCGTGTTTCGGGAGACCATAAAAAAAAAAAATTCTATGAATAATGTTTACTAGAATCAGTAACCAAGATTGCCTTTATGACCAGAGGGATTAGAACATTGTGATAGTTTATATAATATTTCTATATATTACAAACAGTATACTGTATGTTAAGACACTCCCGGGATAAAGGAGAGAACTCGCCGTCTAGTAGAGCTTCCACTTTGCAGAGGTACAGGCACGACTACTTTAGAGTCCAAACTCCCGAACTGGAACCAGGGGAATGTGCCTATCTCCCGAACAGCATACTTAGTAACAGTCCAAACTCACGAACAGTAATCCCACGAATCGCTGCTAACAAACAAACCGATATAGCATCCAAGCTGCTTACGTTCCCAGCAATCAGTCTCTAGCCGCATATAGTAAATCTCCCCAATCACAAGACTAAGCTCCGTATTGAGGGTAAAACAAGATCTGGCTTTAATGAGGGCTACCTGCCCATATTTATGCAGGTCTCCCACTTGGTGGACACTCCCCTAGGGGACCAAATGCGAGACTGTAACAAAGGACAGACAGGTATCAGATCAGGACATACAGTCACAATACATCCCCACAATGCATCCTGGCTTCCTCCTGTCTGCCCTGGAGATAATTGAGAAGTAATTCAATTATCTCCCAGGACAAAGACAAATCACTATTATGCATGTGGGGACAACAGGATAGACATTACTGTTAAAATAGAAAGTGTTAAAACTGTTACTATAAATATAGACATGTAACATACTCACAGATAGCTCAGGTCTGAGCGCACATTATTAGGTGAATGGCGCTCAGACCACACGAATACAGTGTAATCGCCATGGAGCCAAAGTCTTTAATTTCACGAACAGGCTCCATGGCATAGCTATCTGGATACTTTCCCATATAACACAAAGTCCCGAATGCTCCGCCGTTCGGTTCACGAACGGAGCTGAAGACCCGTATGCTGGTAGCTCAGTGGTGCTTGAAAGGAAAAGTGTCCACTTTTGGTGTACTGAGGCTGGGCAGAACAACTATGGCTGCTCGGGGAGCTCCATAACACCACCATCGTGTGGCGGCTAGGTGTAACCACTACCACCCAGTAACAGTCAATTAAGCTGCGGTTAACCGCAGATACTGGGTGGTCAATTGCCGGCACACGCTAGCTTCAGGGAGGTAGATTGAAGGCACACTCCAGCTTCCCGGTGATCGCGTAATCGGTAGTCATTCAGGAAACAAAGCGGGGAAACAAGGGGGCTGTACGGGTAAAGAAATAACGGAACAAACAAACGAATGGAGGGAGGAGAGACATAATCCAAAGAGAGACGGTTCTGTCACACTGTATATGTCCTGTTCGGTCACTTAGAGCTGATCATATGTAGATGTTAGTTACCCTCAACATCCAGTGAGATGCTCTGCAGAAAGATGAAGGCTCCCCTGGGAAAGCCAGTCTGTACTCTAGCGGACCCTACATTTAAACCACAGACAACCTGGTAATTGGCAGTACGGTGCAGTTTTCCATCTATGTATAATTTTTGTTTCTGTGGAGTAACAATGTCACCAGTCAATAGCCCAAATCACATTAATGGGGAATACCTCCCCAGACACAGAATTCAGCCTTAACCCTGTGTCTCTCCTGTTGTTGGGCTAAATTAAATCTCTGGGTGACCCAGTGCCAGGGAGAATTTGGGCTAAGATGTGCTATAAGTTAATTCAGGACTGTGAGTGTTGTCTAAGATTGGGGTCAATGTTGTTTTTAATCAGGTCGTATAGGTGGAGAATGTTAGTTTAATTGGTGTGAGGCATTTATTACCTCCTGTTCTGATACATCAACGAGACTGACCTAAGTAGGGATGACCTCTGGCCTCCTAGCCTACCTCCCCTGGCAGAACAGTGCCATGCCTTGCAGCAGCGCGCATGTCGAATGAGAGCATAACAAATTATCGGAAAGTGCATGTCGGACTGGCCTTTTAAGGGGCTTTGGTCTGAATTTAATAAGCTTTCCAAATGATTCAATACTGTTCGAAATAGTTTCCAAATGATTTATCTACAGAAATCACCATTAACGTGTATGGCAATTTTTGTAGATGACTCACTTGTAATGTTTTCCTAACAGCATTGAATCATTTGGAAAGCATATTACACTGAAACCTCTGTGGGTCCTGGCGTGATTTTATCTGTTGCCTGTGACATAATACATGTGAAGCTGATAAATATGATGTTCTGTGCGAGTTTGGAGTAACCTCACGTACCTTGTATGTATGTATGTTGGTGAATGTAAACAAGCATGAGCCAGTTTTCATATTTGTTTGCTTTAATATTTAACATCTAAAACACATATAGTAGATTTGCAGGCACTTGTTTTGCTGTTGTCGCAGTGGTCAACAAATACAGATTGGTATAGTTAGCAAGACAGATTAACAGACAGACACAAAGAGACAGACAGACAGACAGACACAAAAAGACAGATAGATAGATAGATAGATAGATAGATAGAAAGAGATAGACAGAGACAGACAGACAGATAGATAGATAGACAGACAGACAGACAGCCAGCCAGATAGATAGATAGATATACAGAGATAGATAGATAGATAGATAGATAGATAGATATAGTTTTTATAGATCAGATTGTTACACAGCTCTAAAACCTCCCAGGCTGCTGCTCCCTGCACTTTCTGAGCCCTATGCGTGGTCAACCGGAGAAATGAATCCATTTAGAATACATAGAATTCTTACAAGTAGGAACTGCCATCACCGTTTTTATACCAAGGGGTTTCCTCACCTTCAATCAGCACTCAGAAATGCCATTTAGTGAAGCATTGTTGTCTTTAATTGTCTTTAATTCTCTCCGCGAGAAATAACAGCTTTCCTACCTGGCACCCACTCTCAGCTCTAAGAGTGACTTGAAACTGCAGTGATTTTAGAAAATTCCTCAGCTATAAAAAAAAATAAAAAAAATAGAAAACAGAACTGTCAGTCCGAGACAGAACTCTCAGTATCTAGCAGGCTCTGTTAGCTTGTCCTGGCTATGTTTGTGGCAATGCATACTCAGCAAGCATGGCTTGAACCAAGGTTTCTCTCCTCCCTTCTCTCCTCTGACAATCTTTGTTGATACATTATCTATGTAAAACATTAAAACCCTTTAGTAAACAGATTAAAGGAACACTCCAACGGGAGTATCTATATATTTTGTTTTTAACAATTTAGTAGATATACCGCGAATAAAAACATACATTTAATTATGCAGTTTTTTAATTGGGAGGGTATATCTAAACTCACCTTTCAAAAGCTGCAGATCTCTTGTCCTCAGCCTTTGCAAGCCCTCCCTTCTCCCCCAGCCCAGACTTTCTGTGGCTGCCCAATCACAGACTTCCCAATGCAGCTCAATGAGAAGTCTTTACAAGGCAGGTGCTCTGGGCAATTGCTGCCTCTTGAGCTTATCTCCACTGAGTTAACCAAACCAGGAAGTAACAGGACCGGTTGTCTGATTGACAGCCAGGGGGTTTAATAATTTTTATTTAGAAAGTGCCAAATCTGTTGAAATCTGCACTTTTTGTAAAATGAAAACAGAGAAACACTCCACACATAAATCACTTCAACAAGATAAACTCCTTAAGGTATGTGGACTGTCCCTTTAAAGGATGTGTTCCCATAAAAAAACCTAAAAAAAAAAGCTTGGCATTTTGCCTACTCTAAAAAGTTCCAATAACAACTTTCTGTTTTTTATCTTTAAGACCTTAAGTAAATACCTCGATCTTGTCACTTTAAAGTTAAAAAGAAGAAGAAAACAGAATGTCTCTCTTTACTGCTCGCCAGTTAGTATCCAAGGGACCATTTATAAGAGATCAAAGGAATCGCTAGCTGGACTAAATAATGAGTTATTCCGATGAAAGTGTCTGAGTTGGAATGCTCGGAATATGATCATTCGACACAAATCATATTCACAAAATGTAAACAAGAAAAATCATAATATTCCCCCAAAAAAGTGCTGTTTTACATTAGCAGTAAAACCTAAATTGTTTTTATTTCAATACAGTTTAATGATTTGCTAAACTTAGAGTTTGTACAGTGAGGAAAAAAAGTATTTGATCCCTTTCTGATTTTGAACATTTGCCCACTAACAAAGAAATGATCAGTCTATAATTTTAATGGCAGGTGTATTTTAACAGTGAGAGGCAGAATAACAAAAAAAACAAAAAAAAAGTTATAAATTGATTTGCATGCCAATGAGTGAAATAAGTATTTGATCCCCTATCAATCAGCAAGATTTCTGGCTCCCAGGTGTCTTTTATACAGGTAACGAGCTGAGATTAGGAGCACACTCTTAAAGGGAGTGCTCCTAATCTCAGCTCATTACCTGTATAAAAGACATCTGTCCACAGAAGCAATCAATCAATCAATCAATCAATCAGATTCCAAACTCTCCACCATGGCCAAGACCAAAGAGCTGTCCAAGGATTTCAGGGACAAGATTGTAGACCTACACAAGGCTGGAATGGGCAACAAGACCATCGCCAAGCAGCTTGGTGAGAAGGTGACAACAGTTGGTGCGATTATTTGCAAATGGATGAAACACAAAATAACTGTCAGTCTCCCTCGGTCTGGTGCTCCATGCAAGATCTGACCTCATGGAGTTTCAATGATCATGAGGAATCAGCCGAGAACTACACGGGAGGATCTTGTTAATGATCTCAAGGCAGCTGGGACCATAGTCACCAAGAAAACAATTGGTAACACACTATGCCGTCAAGGACTGAAATCCTGCAGTGTCCGCAAGGTCCCCCTGTTCAAGAAAGCACATGTACAGGCCCATCTGAAGTTTGCCAATGAACATCTGAATGATTCAGAGGAGAACTGAGTGAAATTGTTGTGGTCAGATGAGACCAAAATCAAGCTCTTTGGCATCAATTCAACTCGCCGTGTTTGGAGGAGGAAGAATACTGCCTATAACCCCAAGAACATCTTTCCACCGTCAAACATGGAGGTGGAAACATTATGCTGTGGGGTGTTTTTCTGCTTAGGGGACAGGACAACTGCACTGCATCAAAGGGACGATGGACGGGGCCATGTACCGCCAAATCTTGGGTGAGAACCTCCTTCCCTCAGCCAGGGCATTGAAATGGGTCATGGATGGGAATTCCAGCATGACAATGACCAAAAACACACAGCCAAGGCAACAAAGGAGTGGCTCAAGAAGAAGCACCTTATGGTACTTCAGTGGCCTAGCCAGTCTCCAGACCTTAATCCCATAGCAAATCTGTGGAGGGAGCTAAAGGTTCGAGTTACCAAACGTCAGCCTCGAAACCTTAATGACTTGGAGAGGATCTGCAAAGAGGAGTGGGACAAAATCCCTCCTGAGATGTGTGCAAACCTGGTGGCCAACTACAAGAAACGTCTGACCTTTGTGATTGCCAACAAGGGTTTTTCCATTAAGTACTAAGTCGAAAGGGGTCAAATACTTATTTCACTCATTGATATGCACATCAATTTATAACTTTTCTGAAATGCGTTTTTCTGGATTTTTATTTTTTTTTGGTTATTCTGCCTCTCATTGTTAAAATACACCTGCCATTAAAATTATAGCCTGATCATTTCTTTGTCAGTGGGCAAATGTTCAAAATCAGAAGGGGATCAAATACTTTTTTCTCTCCCTGTATAATGATAATTCTAAATTCGTCTTCTAAACTTCACTTTGAATTCCCAATAATTCACACTTTGGTAAATCAGTTTACTCTGATTGTGCAATAGTTGTGTGTAGAATATCCTCAGTCACTCAGTGTCTTATCACTAGTTCACAACTCTCCTGCTATAAAGCACCCGACATTGGGAAGTGTGGAATTAACAAAAAGGTGGGGGACCTTCAATGGGGTATTGTCAGTAACGCAACTTGCTTTACTGGTAATACCCATAATGGGGTGGGCTTACCAGCCCACTGAAAGAGAGTGCCAGGCTGGTATCAAGTATGTCAGACTACTGGACAGCTTCCCAGCTGGCTCCCAACATCCATAGAAACATAGAATGTGATGGCAGATAAGAACCATTTGACCCACCTATTCTGCCCAATTTTCTAAATACTTCCATTAGTCCCTGGCCTTATTTTATATATAGCATAGCCTTATGCATATATACAGGACCATGCAGAGCTTTGTATCCTTGAATATGAGACTTCAGGCTACTATTTCAGATCGGTGGGACAGGACCCCAGAATAATGACTGCCCCACTGTTGGGAGCCCTGATATAAGATTTAATTTTTCTGTTCCTTCCAATATGAGCTAAGTAACCAGCGAATGTGTCTGCTTTCAATGATCACATCTCGTTACATGCTAAAGTGGAACACAGCAAATTATGGGTCTTTAGACCCCCATTAATCCTCATGAACAAACTCAGAAAAAAATAAATAAATAACCAGTTATATTTTTCATAATTCTCAAGTCCGGTAGATGTTGAATGCTAAATGGGGAGCAATTTATTAAAACATATTAAAACAATCTGGTTCAATGACACATTCGTTTAAATGCCAAAGAATTATTAATTAATTAATTAATTAATTAAAGTACTGCAATACTTTTCTTTGTTACAAAATTAGCATTGTTCCTGATTTTACGTCAAACGTGTTTATCTCAGATTGCCACGGAAATCTTGTGGGGAAGAAATGTTAAAGATTCTGGACACTGCTAGGATCTAAAAGAGGTCAGAAGAAAGCCGATCAGGTATAATATTATTAATAAGAAGACATCATTTCACTCTTGTAGGCTGGCATTGTGCAAAATCTGGAATTAATTGGGGTTAACCAAGGGTTCAATTCTTCCCTCACATCCTAACACTATGAGTGAGAGAGCATCTCTGTAGAACACCGACACGAGGGGTTAATTCACTTATCACAAACTGCACTGAACCGAAAATGAATCTGCAAAATGTATTCTAAAACAGACAAGCTGGGAGTCTTATACGAGGGAGTTTTTCCATGTACGTTACTTTAAGACGGGGTGCCCAAAAAGTAGATCCCCAGATGTTGTAGAACTGATGCTTTGCGTGTCTTTGCATGTCTATAGAATGATAAGGCATCATGGAAGTCGTAGTTTTAAAACATCTGGGGATCTGCCTTCTGAGCACCCCTGCTTTACAGCTTTGGCTTTCACAACAAATCTGTGTTTAGTGAATATGCCTCTTACAGTGAACTTTAACCTGGCAGATAAATATCTCATAAAGAAAGAGCTGTTCATAATAATTACTGTAATGTTTTTATTTATAGAGAGACAGCATACTCTGCGGTGTTGTGCATGGAGTAAAGATTACAATTATAAGTAATTGTGACACGGCAAGTTCCACATGCAAGGTTAAAAGAGGATGTGAGTTTACAATTCATAGTAAATGAGGTCAAATTACCCCTCGAGATAGAAAGTAAACAAGTAATATATTCAAAGCAGATGATAGATTGCAAGGAGCAATTAGGACAGTCTAATGAGCATTCTCCAATTCCCTTACTACTTTAGCCTTTAATGTTTCTACTGTGAGGCTATTCCAGGTATCTACTACCCTTTCTATATCAGTATTAGCCTATACTGCTTTCACTGGAAGGCTATCTCAGGTATTTATTACCCTTTCTATATCATTGTTAGCCTTTATTGCTCCCACTGGAAGGTTATTCCAGGTATCTACTACTCTTTCTATATCAATGTTAACCTTTACGGCTCCCACTGGAAGGCTATTCCAGGTATCTACTACCCTTTCTATATCACTGTTACTGATCCCACTGGAAGGCTATGCCAGGTATCTACTACCCTTTCTATATCACTGTTACTGCTCCCACTGGAAAGCTAATCCATGTATCTACTACCCTTTCTATATCACTGTTACTGATCCCACTGGAAGGCTATGCCAGGTATCTACTACCCTTTCTATATCACTGTTACTGCTTCCACTGGAAGGCTATGCCAGGTATCTACTACCCTTTCTATATCACAGTTACTGTTACTGTTACCTATTCCAGGTATCTGCTACCCTTTCTATATCACTGTTAGCCTGTGCTGCTCCCACAGGAAGGCTATTCCAGGTATCTATTACCATTTCTATATCGCTGTTAGTCTTTACTGCTTACACAGGAAGGCTATTCCAGGTATTTACTACCCTTTCTATTTCACTGTTTGCCTTTACTGCTTTCACTGGAAGGCTATTCCAGGTATCTACTACCCTTTCTATATCACTGTTACTGCTCCCACTGGAAAGCTATTCCATGTATCTACTACCCTTTCTATATCACTGTCACTGATCCCACTGGAAAGCTATTCCAGGTGTGACAGATCCATCTGTATAGACTAAGATTGCTGGTTCGTCTGTTTTACCTTGTTCGTGGAATTACCCATTCGTATACTCAGTGAATTGACTTTTCCGCCGAACAAAACTACCGAACGGACGGCCACCCAGAAGAGAAGTGTGCTGCTGGTTAACCTCTTGATCCCAATTAGAACATAGTGGTTAACCACAGACACTTCTCAATTAAAACCGAATACAGGGTGGTCGTCGTTCGTATGTCGACCACGAGGCAGCGGCCATTTTAAACCATGCGAAAGACCAGCGGTGCTCGGCATTGATTTCATGGAACTGAAAACGGACACTTTTTCTGCCGAACAACGCTGAAGCCGTCGACCTCCCTTCTCAATCGACAGAAGGATGCGAACACCAGCCGTTCGGGAGGTTTAAACACACGAATGGACTTACCCCAGATAGCCTTCCCATGGAGTCAATCGCATACCGAAAGACTGTAATAGACTTTGACTCCATGGCGATTGAACTATGCGTATGGGATCTGAGCGCTATTCGCCAATAATATGCACTCAGATCCAGGCTATCTGGGGATACGTGATACGAATGGGTAGCATTCGACAAATGTAAAGTTATAGATTTTTATATGTTTTCTGTGTTGAATTTAAAATGGCGATTTGCCTCTGTCCTGGAGATAATTGAATTACTTCTCAATTATCTCCAGGTTAGAGGGGAGGGAATACTAATGCATTGTGGGAATGTTCTGTGTCTGTGGGTCCTGAACTGCCATATGTCTGTCTATTGTCACAGTCTCCCATTTGGTCCCCTAGGGGAGTGTCCACCAAGTGGGAGACCTGCATAAATACCGGCAGGTAGCCCACAGTAAAGCCAGTTCTTGTTTTACCCACAATGCGGAGCTTGGTCTCGTTATTGGGGGGATTTATTACCGACGACTAGAGACTGCTGGATGGAATTATTAGCCGCTTGGGAGATACATGCGTTCGGCTACTATTGGCGGTTCGTGAGTTTGGAGCTCGTGGAGTGAAGTGCCCGTACGGATCCCGTTTGTGAGTTTACAGTGTTCCCCGGCTTGCGGTCCGCATGATTGTACCTGATACGCATGCAGCCTATGTTATTGCGAGAGGGGAGCATTCACTAAACGGTGGTTTGTACATTTAATGCTGAAGGTACCGTAACACCAGGTATCTACTACGCTTTCTATGTCACTGTTACTGCTCCCACTGGTAGGCTATTCCAGGTATCTACTACCTTCCTAAATCGATGTTAACCTTTACTGCTCCCATTGGAAGGCTATTCCAAGTATCTACTACCCTTTCTATATCAAAATAAACCTTTACTGCTTCCACTGGAAGGCTATTCTAGGTATCTACTACATTAAAGGCTTTTACTGCATTTACTGGAAGGCTATTCCCGGTATCTGCTACCCTTTTTTATATCACTGTTAGCCTTTACTGCATTTACTGGAAGGTTATTCCAGGTATCTACTACCATCTTATATCAGCCGTTATTGCTTCCTTTGGGAGTCTATTCCTTGCATCCACTACCTGTTCTGTGTGAATGTTAGCCTTAGCTGCTTCCTCTGGAAGGCCGTTCCAGGTTTATACTACTCTTTCCCACAGTGCATGCTATCACTAATCTGGAATTTTCATTCTCTGTCATCCAGATACCCAGGGCAGCCATAATCGTATGAGTTAGGGCAATTTAACAATACATATTCCACTTAAAGGGGCACTACAGTTATGGTGTATAGAACATGCCCCTGCAGTCTTACTGCTCAATTCTCTGCCATTTAGGAGTTAAATCACTCTGTTTATATCTCCTGGGCAGTGCTATTCCTGTGGAATCCTTCCCTGATTCGTTAGACTCCCAGTCTCACCCAGTTCCTTCAAAAGATCATTCAAAACTCACATCTTTAAGAAAGCAAATCAATGCTACTGCTAATAGCTCTCCCTCCCCTCACCTTGGTTACCCATCTTGCTTCCTCTCCTGCAACTATGTCATCCAAAAGAATGAATCCTTCACTGTTCGAGCAACCTACTTTTCCCGTATATGAATCACATCCTAGCCTTACCTCTTGTGCCACTTTACCCCACTCCTTCTAAAATGTAAACTCGGTTGAGCAGGACCCTCTACACCCTCTGTTCCTGTGCGTCCTGTGGGTCCTATGCGTTCCTGTGCGTCTTGTTGCTAATACATGTCTGTTAGTCCACCTATTGTACAGAGCTACACAATTTGTTGGTGCTTTTATAAATAATAATCATAATATAGCCCTAGTCACAGCTCCCTGCATATGACTTGTAAAGCCTTCCTAAATACTTCCTGCACAGAAAGATCTAATGTCTATACTTCTTTTATTGCACAGTCTGTTTAATGTAGAATACCTTATCTCCTGCATTGTTAATAGCCTTCTAGAGCCTGAAGGAGAGTCCTGTGTGTGATTAAAGTTACATTTACAGAGCATGGGATGAAATGTCTAAAGCAAGTTAAGGTCTGATTGACAATGAAACCATTTTTTTCATGCAGACTGTGTGAGTCACAGCCAGGGGATGTGTGGCTAGAACGGCATAATCTAGAAGTTATTTAACACCTAAATGGAAGAGAATTGAGCAGTGAGACTACAGATGCATGATCTGTACACCAAAACTGTTTCATTAAGCTAATGTTATTTTTGTGACTATAGTGTCCCTTTAAACACTGAACACCAGCTACAATGTTACAAACAGCTTGCCTATAAACGGGTTAATCAATGCTTCCTTATTTTTTCAGATACTTTAGGAAATATTAAATTAATGAATAGCCAACCAAAAGGTTAACCTTGCCCCTCTTAAAACCACTGAAAGGAAAACTGCAGACAGACTCTCAGGGGTATTAAATAAAGTAAGAATTCAAAATAAGTTTCAAATTTAAGGTCAATATAGACAAAATGGAAATATTATGTTTCTGCTCGGCTACTCTGGCCTTAAATGTTTAATTCACATTGAGTTCTCAGTTTAGTAAATAATCCTGTTATTTCAATATGTGATTTTAAAAAACTGTATGGGGAGCTATACAGAGCAAACAGCCTCAGAAAGTGTCCGTCCAGAAGAATGATGTCTTGTAATCCCAAATAACAAAGAAATCCGTTGGCATCTAAAACTCACATACTGCATATTTAGTAATAAGGAGACGTCCACCTGGGGGTATTTACAGGACAAATACCTTCTACCACTGCTCAGTATATCTTATATTTTATTTTGTACCAAAATTATATGGAACACGAACAAGAAAACCATTGAAACTTGTCAAAAGAATTTGAAACTTGGAAAATGAACAACGTCAACAAATATCCCATGAATTTACCAGCAGAATAATGACTACGAGCAAAGTGGAGATAATGGTATAATGGTACATATAGGGTTAACGTGTGCGAACATCGCACCCTACCTGGAGAAATCGTATTATTTATGGTCAAAACAGAGAATGAATGTAGCAAGCGGGCACAGTCCTTCAGACTCTGGTTTTACAAAAGATTCTTTTTATTCACTAAGCTAAAAAAAATCAAAAATGCTAAAACTATGTCACCCTTTTCATACGATAGAGTCTCGGCGTGGAAAGGCAGTGATGTAGAATAAGTATCTTGCAGATTACGGAAAATAGCACAGCTGAATCACAAATCTATACCGCCAAAGCCAGCTATGTTAATAAACCAATTATAAGTAAAAAATCACAGTAGGAATTTAAATATCATGAGATTAACCATTCGTGGGGCTTACTGCCTTGAATATGACCGCTCTATGAAATAACAGATTTGAACATGACGGTTGGTGGGGACAAGCAGTCACAGGAATGTTAAAAGCATGATGAGGGTTATTTATGAAAGTGATAATTTAAAGAGAAGCCAAACTGGAAGCATAGCTGACTCCGAGAGTTTTTTCAGCTCAGCTAGTTTGACCTTAATGTGGCAGTGTCATGGCCGCATCTGTTTTATTTTTTTAACCCCCCCTCTTCCTATTTCACTACATTTTATTGTCCTCCTAGTCGCCCCCAAATGCTTCTAGGACCCCCATTTCACCTCTTTTTATTGCTTTGTTTTTTGTCCGAATCTATGTCCTAGGTACCGCCATCTTTGTGTTCCCTGGATGACGTGTGCTACATGGGCTCCATCTGCCCACAATAGCTTGTACTATGAATTCCATGCCCAGTTGTAGACTCGGGCAATTACTTTTGACCAAAATTCAGACAGCACTTACAGCTATTCTTTAATTCATCAAAAAGACAATTGAATGAATAGAAATTACAAAGAACGAACAGAGACCGAATTTCAATTCGATCTTTGTTCAATTGTTTAATTTATTACAAAGAGGGAAAAATGTGAAAATAGAAGCAGCATGGAGCTGTGCTCCCCACCACTTCCTGAATCCCTTATATTAGCTTTAGGGGGGCTAAATTCTCCATTCTGCCCCTACTCATTCTCATTCTCCATTCTGCTCCTGCTGTGAGTATGGGGCATGTATACTAAACAGTGATCTGCTGTTTGGCTGCTCACTGTTGTTAAGAAAGACCCCCCCCAATCCAATTAAGGGGGATCTGCCACAGATCTCCAATGCCCTAATGTTGGGGCATCTATTTAAATCATTTACAAGGGGGGACATAGTGATCCCCTCCAGGCCCCACCCATGCCCTGCAAGTATGGCTATTAGACTAAACAGGGAACCTATTATTCCCCCATAGTCCGCTAATGGGTGGTGGCTGGGAGAGGGCAATAGGCTCTCCCTTTCACATAGGGCACCCACCAGCTGCCAATGGGTGGGAACTGGGGGGCACAATAGGTCCCCTCATTATCAAATAGAGCCCTCACCCGCCACTAATGGATGATGGCTGGAAGTGGACACTATGTCCCCCTTATTAATGAAGGCCCCCACGCACTGATATTGTGTAGGAGCTCAGGTGGATTTTCCATTACCAATTAGGGCTCCCACCCTCAGCCAAAGAGTGGGGCTGGGGGTGGGAAATAAGTTCCCCTATTGTCGACTAGGGCCCGCATCTGCAGCTAAAGGTGGGGGCTGGGAGGGGACAATAGGTCCCCCATTACTTAGTGAAACCACTTACCACTAATGGATGGGAGTTGGTGGGACCCCCATTGTTAATTAAAGCCCCCCCCTGCTGCTAATAGGTAGGGGCTGGGGTGGGGGGAAAATAGTCTCCCATTATTTATGGTATCCACCCATCGATGATAGATGGGGGTGGGGGTATTCCCCATTATCAATTAGGGCCACCATCCACCACTAATGGGTGTGGGCTGGGGGACAACAATAGGTCCCCCGTTTAGTTTAATAGCACTCCTGTGGTATGGGTGGGGGCAAGAGAGGGGCACTAGGTTCCCTCCACTGTTATTTATTTTAACAGGTGCCCCACCGTGCGGGTGTGAAATTTTTTACAACGGTGAGGAGCCACTGGCAGGACGTTCGGAAGAGAGAACTCCTTCCTCCCCCCTAGAGCCCGGCAGGAAAGGGGCCATGAGGGTGGGGGGGACCTATTAACACCAAAGTGCCAGGAAAACGAGTTTGTTTTCCTGGCACTATAGTGGTCCTTTAAGAGTAGGAAAAATACACAAGACAAAGTAGTCTTATTTTTTTTTAAAAAAAACAAGATCAGAAATAAAGAAAAGAAGAACAGATTCTAATCGAGGAAGAGAAGATAAAGTGATTGGGAAAAGGTCATGCGTGACAGTGCTGCTTTCAATTTGAATTTCACTTTGAATTTACCTAGAATTCTCACTTTTGTGAATTACCCAGTACGAGGGGAGTGTTGTACGAGGTTGAAACGGATAGATTGCAGTAAATGGGAAGGATGGAATGGACTGATTATAACGAGTATAGTCTGATCTGCAAGAGGATATTATTAGATCGAATGTGGCGTGAATTAACGGACTGATAATAAATGGTAAAAAATTAAAGCATTCAATGTTTACTGTATCTACATATACAGGGCTCAAAATTCCCCACTAGCAAATGGCGAGTGAAAATGTAGATATATGAACCCTGATATATATATTGTAATATTTATAGTAATATTATAATAGTTAAAGTAATATTATAACACATGCATGCAGTGGTCCAGGATAATAATAGTAAGATAAAAATGGAGTATGTGTCTCACCCCCATGCCCAGATGTGCTGCTATAAATACATTTACATGTTTTGTAAAAGGCCAAGCTTTTTGTGCTACCTGTAGGTGGGGAGAAACCTCAAGTTCATAAAGCTGAACAATGCCCCTCTTCGCTCTGACCTGCAAACAGCAGTGTTGGTGTTCTCCTAAATATATACACTACAAGTGATTAAATTGCTAAATGGAAAATGCAAAATCGAGCTTCTTACAATCTTCAGTTAAAATTGGTGGCCTGGGCTTGGAATTGAGGAATTTTATTACACATCCCTTTGCATGCAGTAATGCATGTTTATCACGTCAGACCATATCCTTTTCTCCTAGACTGTCCAGGCCGGCCTAATCTTGAGAAGCCCTCCACCAACTTTCTATTCCTACCTCTGGGGGCGACTCAATGCCTAACGTGTCTGCAGCCGGGAGCTCCCTACAGACTCCTTGAAATCACTTTCCTCTAAATTGCTTAAATCCACTGACCCATTTTTTTTACACACGCTAAAAATGGGCAGAGAACGGGAGTGTTATCTGCTGAGTGCTTATTCCACAGTATGCAATGCTATCCACGGCTTCTCTATCAGTAACCATTAGGGTAACGCTGATTAGTTCTCGAAAATGAATACGTGGCTGGTTTTTTTCTGATAATGAATTCAAAATTGCTTTAGAAGAGAGAGCAGTTTTACTCTTAGTAGATTACACAGTTTCATTGTTATTGAACTTAACAGTTAACTGCTCGGAAGGACCAACTGAGCAATTACTGAGGCTTTTCTACTTCAGGAAAAATGGTCGACAATGACCCTATAAAATATTTGGCCTCATTCAGAATCTGTTCTGCTCGATGTTTGGCCATTTGAATAAATGAGCCAAAAAAACTAAATACATTGGCCATGATTCAATGGCTGAAATTCTTAATTATTATGTGCAGTTCTTCTGTCTTCTGCTGGGAATGTGAGCACAGCGGGAGATTTGGAATAAATGTATCTACTCACTCTCTGCCAGAAATGAGTCACCATTTAGATCTCCCAGTTCACGGCTCGAGTATAAACTCTACATGTGAAGCTATTTATTGACAATTATTTTAGTCTAGAAATGTTGAAATATTGATCAATGACTTTGGCTAATATTATTACCTCAAAGGGCAAAGTATGTCCACTCCAATTTCAGTCACTTTAATTGCACTCCAGAAGGAGGGGGTATGAACCCTTAGAAAGTACTATTTGTCACCTCTCAAGTTTCACCTTTCTCTTCTCATCCATAGTGCTGATCTTGGCCCCAGTCAGTAGAATTCTAATAAAAATCCTAGACAATTAAGCTGCCCCTAACAAAGAGACTTGTATTAATGCCATCTTGATGTAAGTATCCCTTCTTTACACTCATATTAATGTCGGGCTGGGTGTGATCCTAGTTCACCTCCTGTGGTCCTACAGTACATGTATTGGTGTTATGGGCATAATTATGTTCCTGTGATTGATGTGGTGTTTCTAAGTTTACCAATAAACTGTGTCAATTCGCTCCTGGGCTCCTACTCTCCAGCTATCATCATAAACTCCCAATGGGCCACCAGCATATATGAAAAAGGTCTGAGACAAATACTTTGCTAAAAAAGTGATCTGCACTATTACATAGAAAATGGACGGTTGAGATAGGTCAGTTGATTTTTAGTCCCCCATAAAATCGATATTTCTACATTTCTAACAATGTGGAAGAAGATTGGGTAAAGAATGTGGCTGGAAACTTCTGAGATCCATTCATTCAGCGTGACCAGTTCTTCAATTAAAACCTTTGGCGTTATATTTGTTTGTGGGAAATATTGACCCATCATATATTGTGCGTTGTAAGTATTAAATGTATCTGCTGTGCTTTCAGGACAATGGGAAGCATATCTTCTCACAAGTCTACGTTTAGGAGCAGAGTCTGGGTGTCTCGCACACTGGATGGAATTGACTCTGCATGAGTTATATTTAGTATTATTAGATCTACAGTTGCTTGGTCAGATCATAAGCTGTTAAGATTTAGATCCCAATGGGAGATTACAGCTTGTTTTGGTAAAATGAGAGGTGGGCTGGAGTAGCATTGAGAATGAGAGAATAATGTGATCATACTTGTTATCATATAGGCTTTTGTCTAGTGTTGATGGTAACAGCTTCCATACATACAATTACTTCTATTGAACTGGTTTTAAAGACCAAGTACAGTAAGGTCATAGTCATTTAGATATGGCTTTACCACACTTACTAGCAATCAGATATTGCTTAAAGGATCACTGTAGTGTCAGTAAAACAAAACAGTTTTCCTGACACCATCTCATCCTTGGGGGACCCTCACTCTCAGGGTCCCCCTCCCTTGGCGCTGAAGATGTTAAAACCCCTTAAGCAGCTTACCTTAACCAGCACCGGGCTCCCTCGGCGCTGGTGACCTCTCCTCCCCTGCCAATGTCAGCTCCCAAGTGGAGTGGAATGCGCATGCGCAGCAAGTGCAGCGCGCTCATTCAAACAGTCCATAGGAAAGCATTTCTCAATGCTTTCCAATGGATGTTCTGCACGCTGGATGCGATTTTCGCATTGAGCGTCGTGGAAGCGCCTCTAGCTGCTGTCAGGAAGACAGCCACTAGAGGTTGGATTAACCCTGCAATGTAAACATAGCCGTTTCTGTGATGCAGCTGCAGGGTTAAAACCTGGGGGACCTGGCACCCAGACCACTTCATTGAGCTGAAGTGATCTGGGTGACTATAGTGTCCCTTTAACTTTTCTTTTCTTTCCACGTCCTTTCTTTGTCACAGGCTGCAGGGTACTACAACCACCTCCTGCAGGCCTCTAAAACCCTATTTACTCAATACAACTCTTAAATCAAATCGAAAACACATCCTGCAAGTAACAACCACAGGCCACTAGATCCACTTGTGGTGCCCCACTAGATTCACCTGACGCTCTCTCTGTAGATCGACTTCCTCCATCCCTATAGATTCACGTCATATAGGTTACAGCTTGCAGTCACCTATATCAAACATCCTCCACGCTACTAGAACCTTCTTCTCAATAAATGCACATCCAGCTGGTCATGAGAGCCACGTTACATTCCATTCAATGTATAACCTGCAGGTCACCAGAGCCACATTCTACATTCCACTAGATACAAATTCTGCAGATCACCAGTCCCAAAATCAACGTTCCACTAAACCCATATGTCACAGGGCACTAGAGATACATCTGTGTTCCGCTAGATCCATGATCAGCAGAAATCACCTTACATGCCCCTCAAACTAACAAAGACACTCGTAGATATTAGTTTTCAGTGTGTGTAATTTGGGCAACATATTAAACCTGAAACAGCAGTTATAGATCCCATGTGGAACGATGGCCGCTGGTTGACTTGGTTTTAAGTACAGCCATTTTGGAAAACGTATTTCTCTCCTGTTGAGCTGCTAGAACAGGGGAATGTTCATTGTAGTTGGTTAATGCACTAATAGAGGCAGCAGGGTTTAAAGGAGAGTGATGAAAGTTTAATTATCAGTGTGCAGAGGAATACAGACCCTGCTGCAAATCTCCTGGGAATGCTTTGAAGTTTTAATCTTGAGCAACGAAAGCCAGAGGGGACAGTTCTTACGAGTTTGACCCCTCGTCTCTAATCTGACTGAGGAGTTACCCGATAAAGAAATGCTCTAATTGCACATGATCTTATTCTCGAGCATTTCTGGATTATAATGGGTGTTAACATACTCTATATAGAGATTTAAACCAGTTGGGGTAATGTCAGCATCAGAGATTGATTTTGATACGGTTTTGTTGATTTTCAGTCCATTTGCTAGTAGTTTCTGTCTCTTTTAATTTTTATTCTAGCACCTTATTCCAATTCATGTCCTTGAACAGGACCTGACTAGGAAAGAGAAAAGGCTGCTTTTCTCCAATATCTACAGCGTTATTCAATAAAGTGTGAATTTCAAAGTAAATTAATTGGAAAACGTTTCCAAGTCAGCTCTGTTTACATTCAATTAGTCACAATGACTGGCAATTTTTGTGCAAAAATTTGACTTTCACTTTGAACTCCCTTTAAATGTCTGAGAATCTACACTTTAGTGAATAAACATTATAGTATAATTTTGCTAAAAGTGACCTTCCACTCCGTAGGTAATTCAGCAATGGTGAATATTTTTACTAATCTGTGATCACTGATTGGGTTTTGTATCAGGTGACACAAATAGAGAACTGGAATATTGCCTGTAAATGTTCTTGGTTATAAACCATTATTGTAGAATTAACTACAGAGTTCTTAATGCCTTTAATTTATTTTATATTTTTATGTGTTCGTGAAAATTACATTTAAAATTAAATCACTTAGTTGCAAACTCACCCAGTTATTTATTGATCTCTTATAGAATCATTTTACAGAATATATATTTTTTTTTCCTAGGATGTAATGACGGGCAATGCTATATATTTTTTTGTTTGTTTCAATATTTTTTTCTTTGTTTTTTTGGGGTAGAAAAGGCCACACCATATATTATGATTAATATATGTTTTACCTTTCATTGGCTCATAAATTACTAAACATTTAATCATGGTTTTCATAAAACACCAAACAGTTTTCTATACATAAAGGAAAACAACGTTTGAGGTCACCGTATTTGTTTTTAATTGATCAAGGTTTTTTGGGGGGCAATTAATGACGGGTACTTAAGGTTTGAGCACTCAGCAATTTTATCCATCATTTTAACAATTCTCCAACCACTTATTTTTTCTTTTGGAAATTCTTGAAACTGAAAAATTCCACATATATATATATATATATATATATATATATATATATATATGTGTGTAAAAAAACCCCAGCTAAAATGTGTGTATATATATATATATATATATAATTAATTTATGTTTTGGGGGAGGTGGTAAAAATATATTTGAAAGGGGGGGGGGGTATAAATGTTTTCAAAATAAACAGATATATAATACAAAAATATACAGAAGCAGTTTATAATCACCAAAGCAGCTTAGCAAAGATACATGTAAGATCTGTATAGCAACATCTTCAACACACTAATTATCATAAAAAATAGATAATATTTTTGCTAAAAGGAGGCAATGCAAAACAAACACACGACAAATGGAAAGAAGGTATCATGGGGCTTGATCGAGAATAGGAAAAGGTCACGTCGTGGTTGAGGTTTTCAAAGAATTGATTTATTTATAAAATATTTTACCAGCAAGTAAACATTGAGATGTCTCTAATTTTCTCATTATTATTATTATTATTATTATTTTATTATTTATATAGCGCCAACAAATTCCGTAGCGCTGTCTTGCATAATCTTTTTATTGTGAAAAATGCAATATAACATGTTTAACCATAAAAAAAAAATCACAAGTAATCCTTCAAAACAGACAGTTCCCAATGTAAGCCGAGACCTCACAAGAAAAAAATAACTGTGTATTTAATTACAGAATATACCGAATATACAATGTATGAAGTTCTTACTTGACTCAGGCATGTGTGTGAAAAAAACAAAACAAAAAAACAGTGTGAAATATAGGGAGATACAGATAGACAGACACCTTCTGATAAATGGGTAGACAGACACACAGACAAGCCAACATAGATAGATATACAGACATGCAGACAGACAGACAGACAGATATGTAGATAGATAGATAGATAGATAGATAGATATATGCTATGCCTAAAGTAGGAAACAGTTAACGATAAGTGCGTAGGAAAGTTATCCTTTCAAGTACAGGAAATGATTCTGTCAGTAATAGTGACAAGTTTGGAGAAGCAGAAGAAATCGTAAATAGGAGGCTGCCAAGTGAGGCCTCACAATTCAGTGGAGGAGAGTGGAGAAGAGCCCCGACAAGCTCGTTACCTGCTAGCGGAGAGTGAGGAGGGTTTGGCCACTTGAGCAGTTCTGTGCTTGTCCCTGCACATTACCAGCTGAAATGGTGCTCAGCGCTCACATCTCCATACCTAATCGCGAGCAGAGATAGCAGACGATTCTGGCTGACATGGCTTTTCATCTGCAGTTCTGAAATAGCCGGGGTCATAATTACAGTCTGCCTGATGGCAAAAAGCTGACCTGACGGCTGACGTATCTTGTGACTGTATAGACAGACATACTATATATATTATTTATATTATAGAACAAGCTTGAATTAAATAAATAAATGAAGGTCCGTGTTGTAAAACCAGAACATCACAGTTATAGAATTCTCAGAAAATGTTTATATAATTGTCATTATCTTAAAATATTAGAGATGTTTGGCCAGATTTCGCAAATCGCCCAGGCTGGAACTATAGCGCTTCTTTTACATATATTATATTATATGATATTGTGTCTTGTAAAAGTATCCAGAATCCCAATCAGTTATAACAAATTACTAAAATTATAGAATTCTGGGATCCAGCAGATATCTCAAAAAAAATAAATAAAACAAAACATAGTGCAATATTGTTTTCAAATAAAGTAACAAAACACTTCTTGGTTGCACTCACTTTTATTCCAGAAGTTTGGTCATTAAGGGGTTAAAGGTGTCTCCCCTGTTGTTAGTTACAGCCGTCTGCTGGGGGTTTTCCAAGACTGGAAGCCAAGCTCAGGAACCTCAGTGATATTACAATCTGGAGATTTGATAAACAGTACAAAGTAAGGTGCTTTATTGGCACACATAGTAATAAAAACAAATGCAAAGAAAAATAATTTTAAAATAACTAACATATTACTAAACTACAGTTGATACATTAATATTTATTCGACATAACAATGTATTTTCTTTTATAAAAGAATATAAAACCGACGTCCTATCTGTAGATAAATCTATACTGATAACCTCATGTCCTATCTGTAGATACATTTACTTCCTATATTGATAAGCCCACTTCCAATCTGTAGAAAAACCTGCTTCCTACACTGATAAACTCACTTCCTATCTGTAGATAAATCTGCTTCCTATAATGATAAGCCCACTTCCCATCTGTAGATAAACCTGCTTACTGTAATGATGAGCCAACTTCCTATCTGTACATAAATCTGCATCATATTCGGATAAACCCACTTCCTATCTGTAGATAAACATGCTTCCTATAATGATAAGCCCACTTCCTATCTGTACATAAATCTGCATCATATTCTGATAAGCCCACTTCCTATCTGTAGATGAATCTGCTTACTATAATGATAAGCCCACTTCCTATCTGTAGATAAACCTGCTTACTGTAATGATAAACTCACTTCCTATCTGTAGATACATCTGATTCCTATACTGATAAACCCACTTCCTATCTGTAGATAAACATGCTTCCTATAATGATAACCCCACTGTACATAAATCTGCATCATATTCTGATAAACCCACTTCTTACCTGTAGATGAATCTCATTACTATAATGATAAACGTACTTCGTATCTGTAGATGCATCTGCTTCCTACACTGATAAGCCCACTTCCTATATGTAAATAAATCTGTTTCCTATACTGATAAACCCACTTCCTATCTGTAGATAAATATGCTTCCTATAATGATAAACCCACTTCCTATCTGTAGATACATCTGCTTCCTACACTGATAAACCCACTTCCTATATGTAAATAAATCTGTTTCCTATACTGATAAACCCACTTCCTATCTGTAGATAAACCTGCTTACTGTAATGATAAACTCACTTCCTATCTGTAGATACAACATGATTTTGATACAGATAAACCCACTTTCTAAGACACTTTGTATCTCTTCATTAAACCCATTTCCTATGTGCAGTTTGTAATCTCGGCTAAGAAATATCGTCACAGCCTAATGAGCAATACAGTTTGGCTTACTGTCAGGTTACCACTGCACGGTAGCCATATTAATGATGTTTAGGGAACTGTTGTGCAACAAAGAAAAAAATAGATTTTTCTTATTGTCTCCAGAAAATAATTATATCACAGCAGATTTAAACACAGTTCGTGTTCCCAAATGCACCGTGTACAATATGTCTTGAATTATACTACAGTTGAGGTTCATACAGACAGTATATTCAGTAAGACATAACACAGATGATAGATTGTGTGTTAATTGTGATAAAGTCAGAGGGACTGCTAGTTACTAGCCAGCCGGGCAGATTTCACCTAAACAATATTGCCATTTTTATCAATTTTTTTTATTAAAGGTTTAGATAAGAAACAAAATTCAATATTGAAATGTAACATTGGTGATTCACAAAGTTAAAGTATAAAGAATTAATCGTTTAAGCCAGTAATAATTAAACATTTAATACATTAAAATAAATTACAAGCTTTGACTTATTGTTAAGTTGTAACAAACCAAAAAAGTATTACCTTGAATTTAATTGTTATATATTAGTCCAAGTGGTTCCAAATATGGGACGTTAGAAAAGAAAAGAAGGTAGGTGGTTAAGATTTATTAAAATAAATAAATAGGTTGATTAGAAAGGAAGAAAGAGAAAAAAGAAAAAAAAGGTAGATTAGGAAATGGAAGAATAGAATGGTCAGTGGGGCAGTCTTCCGTTAATGGATGCGAGAAATGTAGTCACGTCAATTATATGATTAAATTTCAATTTACATAGCAAGAGATACAATTGTTTAAGGTAAATTACATCTGATTGAAAGTTAAACCAGGTTTTTTTTCATGCAGGCTCTGTCAATCAGAGTCAGGGGAGGTGTGGCAAGGGCTGCATAAACAGAAACAAAGTAATTTAACTCCTAAATGACAGTGAATTGGGCAGTAAAACCTGAGAGGCACGATCTATACACCAAAACTGCTTCATTAAGCTAAAGTAGTTTAGGTGACTATATTGTTCCTTTAAACTAAAATATATTTACTGAGTTATGAGTTTTGAATTCAAATGGATTATTTTATTTTAAAATAACTTGTTGATACTTACAGTTTGAAATGGAATGTCAGAGCCTGATGTTAATGAGACATTTCTATGTATTTGTTTTGCAGTGAGTTTGCTAGACACGGCTATGATTCCAGGTGACTGGGGTTGGCTCACCTACCCACCACATGGAGTAAGTATCAAACAACTATGTATCTACTCGTAATTGGTTTTCAGGTTGGATATATCGCTTTTTGTGTGGAGTTTAGTGGTTTCCATTTTCCATATCATTCATGATTTCATTTTCTATTTTTTGGAATACAGATTGAAGTTAATTATAAGTAATGTTACATTAAAATTTAAACAGACCCAGGGCCCATCTCACGGAGGAAGGGTCAGCCTTCAGAGGATCCAATCATTTCAGCTTTGAAACTGCATTCAATTAAACTTCACCTTATATTTCCTGAGAAATCCCGTGGCTCTGTGTTCCTTTCTCTGTAGTAGTCATAATATGGGCTATATGTAGACCTCTTATCACAATTAATAGTGACAAGGTCGGACACAAGTCTCACCTCATCCTCTCCTGACTGTAAGATGCTGAAATGAACCTGTAAGCATGTCAGATATAATATTAAATCCCCCCAAAAGTGATAGCATGTCATGATCAGAGAGCGAGGGAAACAAAACGTGACATGTATACACTGGAATTAAACTAGGCAGCTGTATGTGTTGCCATTCGTATCCCTTAAACAAAGGTTGGAAGGTAAAACATGGCAATCCTTATTTATTTTTCAACTTATTAAACAATGTGACTTTTGTATCAATCTAATCATGAAATTAGCTAAAAATAGCTTTCTAGATATAACAATATCTATCAATATATCAATACGCAGTAACTCACACGTCTAGACTGTAGAAGCCACAAACACTGCTGAGCATTCCACTTTAAACTGAGAGTAATATATTTAATAATCTCCTAGTGGCCCTGGTAGAAAATATTATTAAACCTCACATCAGCATGCCACGTTGCCAAGCTGGCATGTTTCCAGTAAAATGCAGGATAAGGCTCAGTGGGGATGTAGTTGAAGAACAGTTGTAGGGATACCAATTCACTGCAAATTGATTAAGTGGACTTTCCTTGGAAATTAGAATCACCAGTACAAAACCTTTGCTTACTCAGAGCTCCGGCCTTCTGACCAATGTTTCTGCTAACCAGAATGTCAAGCTTTGTTGATGGTATGAAGAGATCCATGACTCATGAAATAAATTATTAAGGCAGGCATGTGCCCCAGTCTCTATCTTTACACAGTATCCTTCAATGTAAAGACAATGTGTCCCAACCTCTATCTATACACAGTATCCTTCAATGTAAAGACAACGTGTCCCGGCCTCTATCTATACACAGTATCCTTCAATGTAAAGACAACGTGTCCCGGCCTCTATCTATACACAGTATCCTTCAATGTAAAGACAACGTGTCCTGATCTCTATCTATACACAGTATCCTTCAATGTAAAGACAACGTGTCCTGATCTCTATCTATACACAGTATCCTTCAATGTACAGACAACGTGTCCCGGTCTCTATGTATACACAGTATCCTTCAATGTAAAAAAACATGTCCAACCTCTATCTATACACAGTATCCTTAAATGTACAGATAACATGTCCCGGCCTCTATCTATACACAGTGTCCTTCAATGTAAAGACAACTTGTTCCGACCTCTATCTCTACACAGTATCCTTCAATGTAAAGACAACGTGTCACAGCCTCTATCTCTACACAGTGTCCTTCAATGTAAAAACAATGTGTCCCGGCCTCTATCTATACACAGTATCCTTCAATGTACAGACAACGTGTCCCGGTCTCTATCTCTACACAGTATCCTTCAATGTAAAGACAACGTGTCCCGACCTCTATCTATACACAGTATCCTTCAATGTAAAGACAACGTGTCCCGACCTCTATCTATACACAGTATCCTTCAATGTACAGACAACGTGTCCCGACCTCTATCTCTACACAGTATCCTTCAATGTAAAGACAACGTGTCCCGGCCTCTATCTATACACAGTATCCTTCAATGTAAAGACAACGTGTCCCGGTCTCTATCTCTACACAGTATCCTTCAATGTACAGACAACGTGTCCCGACCTCTATCTATACACAGTATCCTTCAATGTAAAGACAACGTGTCCCGACCTCTATCTATACACAGTATCCTTCAATGTAAAGACAACGTGTCACGGCCTCTATCTATACACAGTATCCTTCAATGTACAGACAACGTGTCCCGACCTCTATCTCCTCAGCATCTACCTATACACTGTATTCTTCTTATTTACCTCCTTCATTTTGATCTTGGTTACAAGAGACACAATAAGTTGAATTGTGCCGACAAAGATCTTGGTGATTCTTTTTATAAGTCAATCTCTAATAGGAAAATGGCAAGTAAAGACAAAAATAGTGCATTACAGGTTATAAAAATTCTATATATTCCGGAAATTATCTTTTTTTCATACTTCACAGAAAATGCTATAAGGGAAATGTTCAGTGAAGATAAAGACAGACTGTTTTTGAGTTGGCCGCTGTGCGCTGTTTGTATGCCATGCTGGCCTGCATTCAGACAGGTGCATTTTTCTATTTTGTGACATATTTGAAATTGACTAAACAGCTGCTACTCGTATAAAGAACATTGATTTCCCGCTCCTGAAAGCAGAGTAACAGAGCGTGAATCCATCCAAAATATACGCGTCTCGCTCTTTCATTTTTCAGTCTTTTTAATCATGTTTGGATTTTGATTAAAACATGCCTTTTTGGATCACACCCTCATATAGAGAATACAGCTCATAAAGAAATATTGGAAACCAAAGAAAAATACACTGTTTAAAGTAAACAATACAACACTGCAATTGATACATTTATGGCTGAAATTTTATTTTATTTAGTAATTATATTGCACTAGAATAGCACTATTATTTAGAATTTTAGTAATCAGGGGTGGGCTGGTTGGGTAGGGGAGTTTCAAGAGCCTGCAGCTTTTTTTATCTTCAGTACATCGTGAGATGTTCTGTAGTATGGTCAGTGATTGCTGGTTTTAGATGAGCTGCCTATCGGGGACCCATATCATACCATGAACATCAAAGCACTGAGGAGGAAAACTACAAACTTACACTTATATTTTGTACTTGAAGTTTCATCAATCCGAGCAACTGTGGGGAAGGGACAAAACCGATTCGGGGTATAGCAGTTCTGTATATTCATTGCCTGTGGCCTGAATAATTGTACTGTTGAGGTGGGATGGTTGAATATGTCTTGGTGATGGTGCACAAGTTGGCCACAGTGGCAAAGTTAATTTTTGTACTGGGTTTGAGGTAGATATGATATGAGACTTACTATACTGTGGAGCTAATTGGAACATGAAGATTAAATATTTGTGGTGCTGACCTAAACAGGGGGATAAGTAAACTGAACGGGAAAACTTTGTCATTGAGATAACTGAGTAGACTAGTGTTGGGGTTTAGGGATTAAAGATAAAGGGGTTTGGGGAGGGGCAATTGCATGGTAGGAGCCTATTTTGCCATATATGTAGTTCTTGGGTGTTGGGGTGAAAAGGGAGGCTTGTATTGTGGATGGCAAAGGTGAGGAGTGTTATATTTGAATGTTTTGAGAGGATTGAGTTGAGTGTTGGAGTGGAGTGGGAAGCTTGTACCAAAAAATAAAAATAGAGAATTGGTGAACTGTTCAAGGAACAGGTGATAATGTAAATAACTTAAGACATGGCAGAAGGAAACAGGGTAAATGCAGAAGGGAGACAATATTGATGAGAGGACAATGAGAAGAAGGAGAAGAATTGTATGTGGAATGTTGAGAAGAATGTATCGGGCAAAGTCAAGTAGAAGAATTGCTTTTGTATATTGAAAGAGACTTACATCCGATGACCAATTTATAGTACAACTTACAAGTGTTTCAATATCCTTGCTCAAATAATTTTCCTATTCTCTGTCCTTGGCCCCCGTCTTTTTAATCTGTTTATAAATTATCTTGAAGGGCACTGAAAGTCATGTCGGTGTTTGTAGATGACACAAAGCTAGGTAAGGAAATATAGTTTGAACAAAATATAACTTCTCTACAATGGGATATGGATAAATTGGGGGACTGGGCAGGCAAATGGCAGGTGAGATTCAATATAGAAAAAATACAAAGTTATGCATTATAGGAATAAGGAACCCACAAGCCACTTATACATTACATGGGACTGAGTTAGGGAAAACAGTAGATGAGAAGGACAATTATAGCCAACAAACTAGGCAACAGTATACAATGCCGGCCTGCCATTGTAAAGGCTATTAATGGGCTGTTGTGTATTTTTAAAAAGGCCTGTTTTGGAAAAACAAAATACTCAAGGCTAAAATTAACATGGATGTGGGTTGCGTATCCAAGGAGTCACAAATTGGGTTTGTTGTAATCATTTGAATCAACAGGATAAAAAGATGTCTTTTAAAGGTCTAACTTGATGGGCTCAAGTCTTTTTTCAACTTAGGCTACTATGTAACTATGTTACTATATACCTTTATCCTTTATTCTTTCTTTTCTATCTCACTTATGAATTAATTTCCCTTGCTGCTGGCCTTCATTTCTACCATCTCCAACTTTATATCCAAGATATATTTAATAAAATAAATTGTTAGAAAATAAATAAGGCGGTCTGGGTCTCTGATGGTGACCTCCAGAAATGGCAAAACAGGCCCCCGAGCCACAAGTTACGAGCATTCTCCTACTGATTAATAAACTAGCCCTACAGAGCAAATAATGACTTGTTTATACTATTAAAGTCTGGATGTATGTACATTCTGCTTTTAGAGCTACATTATAAACACTGGATGCAGGTGTGTGGCTGTTCTGTTTCAGTTAAACATAACCTCATAATGAAAATGAGACTTTCCCCAAAAATTATGTTTTTTTCTTAACTGCTTCCATTCAAACCATTGATCTTAGGATGGGTGACCATGTTAAATCTACTAAGCCAGAATTAATGATTTTATATATATATATATATATATATATATATATATAATTATCTGGTCCTGCATGTTGCCAAACATATGGACATTAGAAATTCTCTTGCTTCTCATTTTCCTGTGAAGTTATCATATAGCCGAGGATCTGTAAAGCGTGGCTCAGCAAGCACATTTGGCTGGTAGAGGCAAAAGAGAAGTTAATTATGAGATAGGAAAAAGATCGTATGGAGAGGAACAAAGGACTGGCTACAGAGATTGGGTGGATGAGCCGGAAATGTAAATGGTTTGATATAGAAAGAGATACTTGGCTTTGGCAGAGGCTAATTGTGCCAGTATGAGCATAACAGAGAATAAACAAAAGAGAAAGCAGCGAGGACGGTTTAAATGAACAAACATAGTGATAACAGGCTGTATGCAGGATAGGACACTGACCGTACGAGATAAGACCTGATGGGATAAAGATTCTTTATTTGTTCAGTCTTTACCCGTTCTCCATACAGTACGACATCGCTCGTCGACGGTGTCTTGGGAGATATGGCCAACTTGGAGTCTATCAGCTGTTAACATCTTTGTTTGGGCCTCAATGAATACTGATTTATTTTTTCCGCTAAGCGTGTTGATTTTAATTTAAATCATTAGAAGAGTCCTGAATACAAGTGGAATTAGAACCTCCCCCTGTTAATTAAGATGTCCTCATTTTCAACTCGCTAGGGGATGTTATCACGATGGCAACAGACGAGACGGACTGAACCTCATTTATTAAAATCCACTTCAAACTAACAGTGCGGAATTTGCGGATGAAAGAGAAATGTAGAGTCCAGGTATTTGGGTTGGAGATATGAGGCTGATCACAATCTCACCTCGTTCCGTCGAGTTGAGAAGAAGTCTTTCTCCAGCCAAATCGAAATTTACCTAAACATTTCCCATCAGGAAGCGTAATGCTTTTTGAAAACCGTTAATTAGTTTTTCTTTACTTTTTAAGTAATGAATAAACCATCAAAAGACGTGTTTTTTCACGTTCCCCGATGAGAGAGCATTCTGTACGAAATTGTCATTTTTCACTTTCAATAATTTCTGAAAGTTCTCCAAAGGTCACCTCTACTTCCACAAATAATATGGTTGATTATTGAATGTCATATACCACTTTTCTTGACCTGTGGTATGTGCCCCCCAAAGGTCTGAAGTACTCCAGCACCAGTTTATATAAATAGTATTTAAAGGTACTCTGGATATTAAGGGTATTGGTTTTTATCAATTTGAAACAAACATCACGGGGTATCGATTAAGAAGCACAGTTATAAATAATCCAATATATATTTGTTTAATAATTATTGCCTGAATATGTGTAGATTTCTTTTTAAAACGTTACCCTGGTGTTCTCAAAATTAAATGAACAAATCTCAGCCAATGAATATTCTTTAAACCTGGTAGGAGTTAGTGTTATAATGCAGAAATAAGACCAATTCAGACCAGAAGAACCAGGCACTGCAAAGTCAGTGTTCAAACTTTATTAACAGTTTGACAGATTACCAATAGATGGCACCTGGAACGCCTGTCACAATAGCTGCTGTGGTGGGTATGGTATCTAAAGCGTCCCTTTCAGAATCAATCAACCTCTTAGCTACTTATGTCATAGTTTAACGGTTTCTTCAGTTAGAATCAGTTTCTCTGCAATACTTATTTACATTCCCCATTTTTATTTTTTTTTATTTTTTTTATCTTTAATCTTTATTGAAATGTATCACATATTAATATGATACATTAAACAAACAGCACATGATCAAATAATTTAAAATAAATGTCTATCATTCCTAAGCATGTGGTGTAATATCATACAAAATAGAGACACACCTTCATACTCACATACAAATGGTCCAACCTTTGAAAAATAAGGCATCAGAATCCTATATATTCTATTCGAGCAACAAATTTGTGTGATTTAACAAAGGCTTAGTTAACTACCACATTCAATCTTGTTTATAATATCTAAATATATACAATATATCCCACCCCACTAAACTTAGGGACGAAATTCCCACCTATTGAAAGCCCTTGATGTATATACTGCTTTTAGGAAGAGTATTTCTAGCCGGAGATAAGTTACAATGTGTCTCTCACATGGAGACACAACAGGGACAATTGTAATGGGGCGCCTGTATCCCAGGCCCGTAAACCAGTTGCCAGAGCTGTAAGACATGTCATAGACCTAGATGAGAAGCAATAAAGCAGTAATATACCTTAATGGTTTTTAGATCACACTTCAGTGCTTTAAGATACATTAACGTTCTTTATAGTACACCTACTAAAGCATTAGGACACCTTAAAGAGGTGTTAGAGATCGAATACCTGGGGAGGATAAACATGAACAGCAAGACACATCTTTGACCAAGGCCACAAACAAAAATAATCTTTGAGATACAATAATGACCAAAAAACACATACCAAAGCTGTAAGATAAATTATAGTCCAATAATACAAACACTATAGCTGTAAGATTAACCCCTTAAGGACACATGACATGTGTGACATGTCATGATTCCCTTTTATTCCAGAAGTTAAGGGGTTAAAGAGCTAGAGTGTAAACACTTATGTTGTAGGACACATAGCGACAAACGGAACACATACTAGAGTTGTAAGATACATGAAACTCCAAATACACAAACACGATAGCTGCAAGACATATTAAAAGGCTGGAGTGTAAACACTAGAGACGTACTATTCAATATGGAGCTTGGACAGAAAAATCGAATGTAAGTCAGACATATAAATAAAGAGAAACATACTTCAGATCTGTACAAAAAATTAAAGTCATAAAAAAACAAATGCTCCAGCTGTAAGACACATTAAAGAGTTGAAGTGCAATCACTTGCGCTGTACGATATATTAAAGCATTAGAGCTGTACGGTATATTAGAGTGCTACGGCGCGAGCTCTAGAGCTGTAAACACATTAATTATATAGAGAAAACAACCAACCTATAAGATACATTTTGAAGCTAGTAGACATGGAATTACTCAACTTTAATGGTTTCTAGAACTTTTTGTACATTTTTATTTACGTATAATTTTTAAATCTGCAAAGGATTGTCCAAATCAGCAGAACTTCTCCTAAAATAGCCAAGACCCCCCTTTATGGCGATGGATTCTGACCTCTCCCAGGTGTCCTGTCCTGGAACTGCCCCCCATTTATTAGCAATAAATTATTATTTTGACCTAAAATGCTTTTGCAGACTGGTCGACAGCTGAGGTGTTAAGAGAATAATTTGTGTTCTGCTCAGCCAGCTGTGAAAACGAATGTGTTGCGCCAGAAGCATTTCTTTTCCGTAAAATGGCTGTTGTGTTTGTTTGTGAATTTGTAATAAATATGTGATTATATTTCTCCCTGTGGCTATGTGCTTATTGGGATCAGCAAATGAATCGTCACTGACTTTAGTCAACACCAATTAGCCTTCTGTGTAGAATGGCTGTTATGAAATAACTTATTTATTTGAAAAACGGATTTTACACAAACTCAAAATCAACCCATCTGTAAAATATGGAAATAAAATGAGTTTTATGAATTTTAGAATAGATAATTTCACGGGATAAACCCATGTGGCTGTGATGTCCTGCACAGAATATTGTTAGAGGCAAAATTAATTCTGCATCTTATTACTCAAACCTATAATGAAATATATCTTCTTAGTAAATAGATTCTTTTTTTCTGGAAACAAACAGAGACCCTATTTCCTCAGATAATCTAAAGTTTAATATCACAAAATATTACAAATTGTATCCCACCTCACTTGCAGTGCGCGGTTATAGAGACTTTAATGCAAACATATGTAAATTATATTAAACCCCATAATTCTGTATTTAACCTTATAAGTCCCGTTAACCCTTATATATCTGAAATTACTTCTGCTTGGCTGGAATTTTAGAATAAAAGGCACTAGAGGTGCTTCCTATCTCAGTATAGCACTGTTTGCAGCAATGGCTTTCAGTGTCTCCATTTGAACATTTCTCATAGAGATGCATTGATGCAGTGTGGCAATCAGCATTAGCCTCCTAATGCTTTTGTATGGGAAAGCATTGTATTGGCTGAGATCATCAAGTTTGATAATCTCAGTCATGGAGTCGGAGCCATGCGTAGCCAACTGTGGCGAGACTAGCGCGACTTTGGAAAAAAGGTGAGCAAAATCACTTTCTTACTGTAATCGAATTGGGGCTTATAACCTAAACAGCTACTTCAAGACTATAGTGTCAGGAATACGTTTGTATGGCACAACAGTGTTCCTCTAAATTTGTAAACAAAAATATCAAAAATTGGGAAAATCTCCAAGTTTGCTATGATTCTAGTTCAGTAACTGTGGCGTAAAATATAAAATTCACTTTGAAATTACTTTGGATTCCTGTCAATTGTTTTGCAAATAACAGTTTGTCAGTTTGCTAACATCCACTGCAATATGTCGCTAATCAGAGCCACTTGTATTGAGGGCCAAATTCTTCCATTTATATACCATTCCAATCACTCACCGTACAAATAAATACCCTATTTCTTGCGACGGACCGCAGGATCACAATATTCATTATGACATTCTGAAATAAACAATATAAGCAGGATGATATAAAAAACATGTAAAATTGATTAATAATGTCTATAAATCCTATAAAATAATAATCTAATAATCTAGGAATAATAAAGCACACAGTTGGACAAGTACTTATTATATTTATTCACTTTAATTAATATTTAGATTTAGGTCAAGTCTTGGAACAAGCACATTTGTGTTTCTGTGATCATTTAGGTCATAAAGTAACAAATTATGATAAAGAATTAGAGGTCTATAGTTACGAGACAAATTTCATTATTTACAGCATTTTAGTAACTTATAACTGATTTAGTCACGACAGGAAATATTTCTGTATTTAGCCTAGACTCTCATCAGCGCCAGGTGCAGATGTTAACAGAAATCTCAAACATTGTCCTGTTAATAATCAATCAGAAAGCTTGTCAAAAGTGTCAAATTTAAATCAAGTCCTGCTGGGCATTTACTCAATAGCCAGGTGGGAAAAAAAACGGCCAGTGATAACATTACTGGCAGTTGACCTTCTGCATAACAGAGTTTACTAGAAAAGATTGTCCTACACCTAAAAAGAAACGACCTGTGTGAAAAAAAAAACACCTGTTATTTTCATGAATGCCGGTAGGTGACTTACTTTAAAAATGTCAGCAATAACATTTTGACTAACGATGAATGGCCCAAGTTTACCAACACTCACTTGGTGTCTATATTCTGGAGTACCACCTCCACTGTCAGGAATTTATGGAAACACGAGGCTCTCAGAAACTGAGTAAATGTGCTTCTATTATTTACTACTAAAGGACAACGTTTGGGCAAGCTAAAAACTTGAGAGAGACTCTGCTGATTGAGAACATTGCTCTCCTCACTTTTTAAGGACACCCATCGTCAAAGAAAAGATTGGAGTGCTATTATAGTGTGGTTTACATTGCAGTACATATGTAATTATATGGTCTACAAAAGTATATTTAAGAAACTAAACTTTCCAGAGGAGCTATAAGGTGTTATTAAGTGGCTTTAAATAAAGAACGGAAGAGAAGAATCCTAATTATAGTCCATAAACCCAGGATACCTGGGGTGTACTTACAGAAAAACAGTGTGTCAACATCATAGTCTATGATTAAGTCCAGGTGGGTGAAACGCGTAAGGTAATGGCTTCTGTGTTTACCTTTTTTTGTTTGTTTTTTGCTTGTTTTTTTGTCTGCATAAGATTCCTATTTTTTTTTGTTTATTTTTTTAAACATCAGACATTGGTATTTGGTGTTTACACTTATGTTTCCCTCCACAGATAAAATGGAGTACCAAAATCATCATTTTTTATTCCTATTCTTTTCTGTCCAAATATAAATTTTATTATTTTCCATAACTTACATAAGTACAAACATACATAAAATTACATAAAATTAACACCTAAGAAGCATTTATAACCCATTCTAGTATGCATCCTCCGGTAATGGATGTGTTCTCATGAACATCGGAATTCCTCCTCCTCTTCCTGTGGACAGGGCTAATCTTTCCTTTGTTCACTAAAAAGAGAGAAAAAGAAAAAAGGGGGGGTGGAGAAAAAAGGGGGGAGGAGTGGGAAATAGAAGTCTTGACAATTAATTCTCTATTTGCCAGAGTTTAGGCACTCTCCCATCGGGGGTCTAAGTCTCTTTAATATATTCTAGCCAAGGGGAACAAATTTCCTTATAGATAGGGAGTTCCCTATTTACCATATAAAAATATATTTCCATATGTGCTTGATGTGTATTCTGATTAATTATTCTAGGCCATTCCAGAGAGTCTGGTTTCCGCCAATCTCTAGCTATGCATATCTTAACCGCCAGTAAAATATTTACCACAAAATATTTACAGTGCGTATTCGTCTTCGGTAGATCAAGATGGAAAAGCCATGTTTGTGGCTTGAATGTAATTTCTGCCTGTAAAATCTCAGCTAATTTAACTTTAATCTGTAGTAATTTCTCGCAGGTCCACCAAATATGGTATATTGAACCCTGCGCCTGAAAACATCTCCAGCAGCAATCTGGAGTAGATTTATTAAACTTGCTAATGCTTAGAGGATCAAGGTACCAACGGTTTATCATCTTAGGATATACTTCCTGTAAATTAATAGAGTGTACCTTTTTTTTAACCAGTCCAGACCTTCCTTCCAATTTTCTATTGAATTTTAGAATTTCATATCCCTTTTCCATTTCCTCATTAGTGAGGTTAGTACTATTTCCTGATGATTAATCATTATTTTTTTTTTAACCTAGAGATTAATTTATAAATTTGTGTCTTAGATAGATTCAACTTACAATTCGAGTAATGTGCAAATTCATTAATAACTGAAATTGCTGCCAGAATAGAAATCTCGGGAGTGATCAGTGTGAGTAGAATGTCATCTGCATAGGGTGTTACTTTAAACTTTTGTTTATTTACTTTGATGCCCTTTATCTCCTCTGCTGATCTTATCATTGCTGCTAAAGGTTCAATAGATAAAGCATAAAGCAGAGGAGATAAAGGGCAGCCCTGCCATGTACAGTTTTGGATACTGAAAAAAGAAGAACTTAAAAATGGACCAGTTACTTTGGAGCTCAGGTTACTGTAAAGTGCCATAGAGCTCTTCTTAAATAAACAATTGTTCCAAAAAGTATCTAATGTCTCAAATAAAAAGGCCCAATTGACCCAATCAAATTCCAAGAAGGCTGTTGGCATGGGCTTTTGTTGGATCTCTGAAATCAGATCTATTAATTTCCGGGTATTATCCTCCCCTTACCTACCTGGAATAAACCCAGCTTGGTCGGGATGTACTAAATCTGACATTACTGTTTTACGTCTGTCCACCAACATTTTTTAAAATCTCTTGAGGTATGTCCCCCTTTTCCCCAAAATAACTGAACATTCTGATTAGCAGCGGGGAAATCATGGGGTCCGCTATCTTATAGAACAAAGCTGTAAATCTTTCGGGACCCGGAGAGTTCCCAGCTTTCAATCCCGATATTACTTTTTTCAACTCTCCTATGGTAAAAGGTTGGTTTAACATCTTTTGTTTCTCTTCTGAGATTCCTGGCAAGTTTAACCTCTATAAGAAATTTTCGACAATGTTTTGGATATGTCTTTAAGGGATCTATAAAAATTCCTAAATGCCTCAGCTATTTGTGAGGGGTCCAATAAGATTTTATTGTTGACTACAAGTCTTTGAATCCTAGATCTTTCTATTTCCTGTTTTAATTTGTTAGTAATTATTTAATTTGCTCTGTTATTACTGTAATGCCATTTATGTTTGGAATTAAAAATAGCTTTCTCTAATCTATCATCCAGTCTGCTTTTTATTTCCTTTTGGACTTTGTTTATTTGTTCTACTAAAGTCTTATTAGGAGTTGATTTATTTTGTCTTTCTAAATTAACTAAATGTATATATCAATCTGCGAGAGGTTTCCCTTTTATTTTCCATAGTGTTACATCATTTTTAATTAAATACCCGCTTATACTACATTTTAAAGCATTCCATAGAGTTGGGTCCGAGACCTCCCTATTATCATTAAAACTTAGAAATTGTTGGATCTCATCTACTTATTTTTGCTTTTCTTCTGCAGAACATAAATTGTAATCATTCCTTTTCCACTCTGCTCTGCCACTGAATTGCAGGTTGTTCTTCAGTTCACAGTAGACTGGGGCATGGTCAGACCAGCTTATATTACGAATAGAGGAGGAAGTACAACATTTCAGACAATCAAAATTCATTAAAAAAAAATCTATCCTTGAATACGATAGAAGTCTACTAAAGAAAAAAAGTGTAATCTCTTTCCAGTGGATGCTGCATTCTCCACAAATCATAGAGATTATTCTTTATCATACATCTAGTTAGTTTTTTTGCGTACCCTTTAGTTTTATTATCTTATTCCCCTTCAATTTTTATCCAGATTGGCATCTGCAGTGCAATTCCTGTCACCCCTAATTATTAAGACTCCTTTGGAGACTCTATCTACTTTTTCCATTAAGGAATTCAGAAATTTCACGGGGAAATCATTGGGAGCGTAGCAGTTTACAAGAGTATGCAATTTTTCATTTACTTTACAAACCAATCATTTGTATCTTCCATTACTATCTGCCTCGTGAAAAATATATTCGAATTGTAATTCCTTTGATATTATTATGGCTACTCCTTTTTTCTTCTCATCCCTTAAAGCTGCTACATAAACTATTGGGAATTTTTTATACCTCCAAAAAGAAGTGCCCTGACAATCCCAGTGCGTCTCTTGTGCAAAGCAGATATTTATCCCTTCTTATTTATAGGCTCTTTTCTGGCTAGAATTTAGTCCCTTGGTATTGATTGATACTATTTTAATCTTCATTGAGTACGATACCTATCCTCAAAGTGCCCAACATTTACCACTTCCTCGCCCCCTTTTCCTTTATTCCAGTGCTCCTCATAAAACCCAACACCTATTCCAAACATTCATCCATTCCAAATCCAGTCATACCTAATGCCCATACAGATACCCTTGTATCTCCCTAGGCTAATCCTCTGAACAACTTAGAAACAGAGTACAACCACGTGCAGGTGTTGAGTTTCAAAGGAGAGGAGTTCACCTTATCTTATGTTTCTATTTTTACCGAGAGATCATATTCTCAAGGAGTGTAAACCTCCAAGGGAGAGGAAAAAAAAGAAAAAGACAATACTAACACAGGAAAAAAATAGAGGAAACCTCTTAAATCCTTACAGAATATCAATCTATTCCTTTTATTCTATATTAACATAGTGGTATAAACTACTGATATCATGCTCTTTTTAAGCCTTATCAGAAATACATCGCCCCTATATAAATCCACGGTATAACCCTACTGAGGCTGAGAAGATGAAACTAGCTCTAACTTAGAGCTTATACCCTAAATAAAATTTAGGAACTTTAGGTATAGTACGGAAAAATAAAGTATGGCAAATAAGGTTCCTATTTTTTTTAATGAATTGGAAATATAATATTTGATTTTCATTAAACTCCTCTATATTATTTGTCTGCAATTCAGACTCCCTAGTTTGTTGCAAAATCGGAAGTGCTGCAAACTGGGATTTTGAACTTGGTGGGCACATGTCTCTTTTCAGCCTATGTAACTATGTGACCATGTAACGCCATGCTGTAGAACGTGATCTCTATGGAGGGACAAAGGGATTTAAAATTGGGTTTTTGCCTGACTGAAAATTATGGCGATTAAGGTAAGTACCCTATAAATACTTGATCCCCTAACACAAAGACATTTAAAGCTTTCCTACCATAGAAACCCCATGGTTTGAAGCCCAGCAAAGTCATTTAACATGCTGACCCTGTTATTGGTGCTGCAATGAAGCAACTTTCTTTGTAACACGAAGCAATTTTTATACAATCTAAAAGCATTTACTGTTGGACAACAATTCTACTGAAAACAGGCTATATAACACGTTAAAATATCCACCACTAAAATTAACTTATTGGTTAAGAAGTGAGTGCCTCTTAATGACTGGTCCATTTGTCAAGAAAAACATTCAATTATGCTCTGCTTACATAAATACTCAGCCTTTGCTTTCATGGCCAAATTAATCTGTTAAAAAATATTTTTTTTCATTTAAATTTACTGTAAACATATTTTTCAGGTTTAAATAGACAACTGTCATTGTTTTTGAAATGACAAAATTCAATAAAAGATAATTTTAAAAATCAGTTATAACTTGTGTTCATTGTCTTGTGTTAAAAATGTAAATGAAAGATTTATAAAATGACATCACAATAACAGACCATTATATGCACAGCCAGGGCACACAGTGTACAATATAGGTGAAGAAATAGAAGCATTGCTTCTGTGTCTCCCCCTCTCCATATGCTCTCTCTGGTGAGTGGCAAGCGAAAATAACAGCGCTTCTAAAAATAATTATCATGGACCAAGATGGAGGCCCTTCAATTTCAGGATAGAGATACATACATCAGTGCGGCTTACTACATTTAATTCTAATTTTTCAGAAACATGTACATTGTACAGCGTTACAGAATTTGTTAATAATAAAATAATAATAAAATAATAATAATATGTGAAATTCACTTTGAATTAAATGCAAAATCACACTTTAGTCAATAAACCCTATAATGTTAAATGTATATAAAGTATTAAAAATTCTGGGGAGTGACTATTCCCCTTTAAATGGATCTTAAACATCTAACTACATAAATAACTTTAATACGTAAACAACACTCAATCACATTCTAAATTCCCAAGCTAAAAATACAGGCGTTTAGAAGATAGAAGCGTGCTGTGCTTTTCAGAGAGAAAAAGCTTTCATTCTCTCTTCCTTTTTCTTTTTTTTTTTGGACCATGTTTGACAGCTGTAGATAAAATATCAAGTTCCAGAGAAAGAGACTCTCAACAATTTATTCTCAGATAACAGAATAAAAAAAAAATCCAAAATTGTTTTACATTCTAACAGCAGAAGATAACTTGATAAAATAACAAAAGACTTAATAAAAATTATAAAATGACATTCGTTAAACTAGATGTTTGTGAACAGAGTAACTATACACAAGATATATTATTTAATTGTTTCTTCGGCTGAAAGTTTATCAAATAAAGTTTGAATTTTCACATTTTTTAGAACGAACAGTTTGACCAAGTTCAAGTTACTTACTTAGCTAGATTCTCTAAAACTTCAATAGGCAGAATAGCCCATCGTTCACTCACATTTATGGCTGAAGTTAATTCACTAATCAGACTATTGTAGGGAAGTGAAAACCGAAATGTAAAACTTAGAAAAAAGTGTTGATTTGGGGAAAAAAATTCCCATATACAATTATAATCTCAGTTTGGCTATTTTAAATTGATATTGCAATTTGATTTTCAATTAATTATAATTTAGAGTTTAATTAATGAGCGGAATAGGATTGTTAAAAAATGTGTGAGGTATTGAGACTCGCAAGTAAATTTAAAATGTTACCCTATCATATCCAAATTAAAACCGTGGCTGGCTTTGCAAACTCAATTGAGCTATTTTGACCTAAAATTGATATTCATTGTTTTTTTTAATTTGAATACCTGACAATTCACACATTACTGAATAACTCTGTTTCTATGGGGTAACATAAAAAAGAATTTATGTAAAATTGAATGCACCGTTGAAAAATCTGGAGCAGTTGTCATGGAGACAGTGGAATGTTTCTGCCGATCACTCGACTTTTAGAATTTTGCTTCAAAATTATGTACATAAAGGTACATTTCAAATTTAAATAATATATAAATATAAGGAAACTCCAGAATTCATAATTGCTTCATAGTTCTAAAAAAGTGTAACAGTCGCCATGGAAACCTTTTCTAACTTTGTTCCAGAATTATTCTTTGCATAAAAAATGCATGCCGTTACCTGTATAGAGCTGTAAACTAGACAATTCTTATTTATTAAGACTTTTTATTAAGGACAAGAAGCTGTGCTTTTATAAATCTACCTGTATTTTTTTATTTTATTTTAGCCCTAAAAATACATTAAAAGCAACTCTAGTTTTCTAACTATCCAAAATTATCCCCGTCAGTTGTTCCCAATAAAATCTCCTATGTTGGGCTTTGTAATTAAGCCACGATTTTTATACTGACTTCATGCAAATTAGAAGCTTCAAGTCGTTTTACTGCACACTTTGCCAAAGTACAATACGGTAATGTCATCTCTTCATTCCAAATATCCTTGGCCTACTTAATAAATACCAGCAAAATAACTTTCTTGTCTTAAAAAAAAGAAGAATACTTCTTTTTTACAAATCATTATTTTTAACAGATTAGATTTTTTTTTTTTTTTGTGAGATAAAATGTTAATAGTCACCCTTAGCTCCAGGGGTGGCAATTAATGTATTAAATGGATTGTGCAGAATTTCATTTGATATTTCTGTTGGCTCTGCATGTGCAAATCTGTGCAGTGTTATTTAAGACGTCGTCCACCGACAACCCCCTTCACACTCAACATATCCCTTAATGAAAATAGATTTCTATCAGTAATGAATTGGGAACGTCAGGCTTAGCAGACATTTACTCCATTCCACAAGCTAAGGGGAACACGAGGCGATGAGAATGCACGGCGGCAGTCTATGTTTATAGGCTTAGCATATATACCTGCTGCTAAGATATTATTTCATCTTTATCCATTCTATTTAGAAAACAAGGCATTTGTGCGGATATTGAGGTTATGTTTATAACGAGGATTCAGTTATAGGTTAGGTGCTGATTAATCACTCTGAAAATCTGACGTCCTGCGGCGATGTTTGAGTATAGGACGTTTAGTAATAACATTTGGTAATTACTTCTATAATTCATAGTGTCTGCATAGGGTGGGATAAATCGGATCCCCAATTACAAGGGAGCTGTGAGGCAACGATTCTGGAAACTAATACGTTATCCAAGGAATTTAACTTTATATAAAGCTACATCTAGCTGCTTGTGTGCGAAACTGGTGTATATATATATACCACCATGAAGGTCAAACAATGTATACAGAAATAGTCTTTTAATTAATGATTTCATTTCAAGCTTTGAATATATTGCATTACAAATCTAATATCTCCCCAAATCCTGCCCCTTCTCTCTTTCTCCCCACTCATTTCTCTTGCTTTTCACTTCTTCTATACTGGCTTTTGTTTTCTTCTCCGCATTACCCCCACTTCCTGACCTTCATTCCATCATCAACAATCAGCACAATTCCAAGATCCTGTCCTTCCCTTTCCTTTTCCTTGGTTTCACATTCTTTAATCATCTAAATTCAGTGGGTTCTCTATTTATGAACAGCATCCATCAGTTTCCCATTTACTGTCTAATATCATTGGGTTCTCCTTACTGGATAACATAATATCCCCTTTAATTGCCTAATATCCATTGGGTTCTCCTTACTGGATAATATAATATCCCCTTTAATTGCCTAATATCCATTGGGTTCTCCGAACTGGATAACATAATATCCCCTTTTATTGCCTAATATCCATTGGGTTCTCCTTACTGGATAATATAATATCCCCTTTTATTGCCTAATATCATTGGGTTCTCCTTACTGGATAACATAATATCCCCTTTAATTGCCTAATATCCATTGGGTTCTCCGAACTGGATAACATAATATCCCCTTTAATTGCCTAATATCATTGGGTTCTCCTTACTGGATAACATAATATCCCCTTTTATTGCCTAATATCCATTGGGTTCTCCTTACTGGATAACACAATATCCCCTTTTATTGCCTAATATAATTGGGTTCTCCATACTGGATAATATAATATCCCCTTTTATTGCCTAATATCCATTGGGTTCTCCTTACTGGATAACACAATATCCCCTTTTATTGCCTAATATAATTGGGTTCTCCATACTGGATAATATAATATCCCCTTTTATTGCCTAATATCATTGGGTTCTCCTTACTGGATAACATAATATCCCCTTTTATTTCCTAATATCATTGGGTTCTCCTTACTGGATAACATAATATCCCCTTTTATTGCCTAATATCATTGGGTTCTCCTCTATGGATAGCATCTGTCGGTACCCAAGTCATTGTCTAATACCGTTGGCTTCTCAGATGATTGTGTCCATTACCCCAAACTGTCCAGAAGTGTTAGGATGGGGCTTTCTTTAAGACATTCTGATATAGACAAATCTCGATAAAAGAGATGCAAACAGTTTATTACTCCTCTATATAAATGTGTATAAAAGGAGAACACAAACCAATACAATCAAATTTTGGGGAACCTTTGCATTTTCACTGACTTGTCTTTCTGAGTTTTTTTAGCATTATTGTTTACAACTGTTGTCCCAGTTCAAACTACCCAAAACACCCCCACATTTGTGAGTTCAGAGGGTGCAGATTTTCTGAAATATTAACCACTTTGTGTCAGTGTTCTTCCCATTTCTTCTCAGAGCATTCCCCCGGTCCTTGCCCGTGGTGTTCATCCCTTATAACCCCTTTTAATGGTTCATTGCTTCCCCATTCATTGTTGAGAGCCGTTTTGTTCCCTCTCAAAGTGTCGAAGCCCTGGGATGTGTTGCATCGCTCATTGCTCCCTTTATACTCTGCTTTATTCTTCCTCATTTGCTCGCTCATCCTGTTTATTTTCTTGTCTTGCTGTTTTGCTTTTAAATAGTTCTTTACGGCCTGCTGTGTTTTATCGAGCCAAAAACAGAGCTTCCTGCTGTCTTTTTTCTGGTATTTTCCCCTTTGCTTTGCATGTGGTCAGATTTTCCTTCATGCTGATATTAACTCAATCATAAATCTCTCTACCTGTTCGACTTGCTCTGAGATCAGTACACGGCTCTTAAGGACTACAAAGTCCCAAGGATCAGGTCTGACATCACATCACAAGCCTCGGATATAATGACAATCCTTTATGCCTTTTCCAGCTGACAATTTTGATTAATTTCTCCGAGGTGTCCGCGGTAAACAGACAAGGAACAGATGTTGTGTTATTTTGTGCACAATAAATTGTGACAATAGTTTTAACCCTTCCAAGAACCTTACACTCCTGGTGGGCCCCAGAATTTACTTTAACAGCTAGCAGAGATTAGCAGGTGGTTATTATATTAACCACTATTTATGGCTCACCAGAAACAAGTGACATTTACACTACGGTAATCTAAAAAAGTCTTAACATTCTCTCAAAATTAATTTAGGGTTTAAACCTGTATTACTGTTTTCTCTTATTTGTCTAATCCATTTTTTGCGGTATTATGATGGCCCTGGGAAAGGACTGAGATAATGCTTTATGCACATGTCCACAAGAAGTGCATTAGATAAGAAAAAAATTCATCAACATTTTTACGTGAACAACAGGGTTATTGGAATAACCACGCAAAACTGGAAAACGAATAACCACATGAAGCTAAATCTGAAACTAAATGAAATTTAAAAAATACAAAACTATTTTTGTATTTTAATGTAATGGATTCTGGCCCATTTAGAAATCAGTTGTGGAACATTTTATCTATGAAGAAAGGTTAACAAATTTATATAAGAAAATCAAAATTTGCCTAGAGCATCCACATTCTTTAACCAGACCGTTTTTCAATTTTCTTACCGTTAAGGACCAGGGCTCTTTTTTTATTTCTGCGGTGTTTGTGTTTAGCTGTAATTTTCTTCTTACTCATTTACTGTACCCACACATATTATATACCATTTTTATGATGAAAACATAAAAAAAAAAACTTTTTCGAACTTTGACCCCCAAAATCTGTTACACATCTACAACCGCCAAAAAACACCTGTGCTAAATAGTTTCAAAATTTTGTCCTGAGTTTAGAAATGCCCAATGTTAACATGTTCTTAGCTTTTTTGGGAAAGTTATAGGGCCATAAGTACAAGTAGCACTTTGCTATTTCCAATCCATTTTCTTTTCCAAATTAACGATTTACATTGTAACACTGATATCTGTCATGAATCCCTGAATAACCCTTCACATGTATATATTTTTTAAAAGAAGACAACCTAAGGTATTAAACTTGGGGTATTTTGACTCTTTTCATGCAACCATTTTACTACCAATATATACCAAATTAAAAATATATATAAATGGTGATTTTTTGACACACATAGCAATTCAAGAATACATGTACTGAGAACTTTAAGGGTTACTGCCAAAGTACAGCCCAATATGTGTTCAGCGTCATCTCCTGAGTACAGTGATACCACCCATGTGTAGGTTTGTTGTTTTCTCTGGGGGCTAAAAGACCTTATTTGGAGGGTGTGCATTCAAGTTTTCCAACTTGTAATTTTCACAGCTGGTCATCATGCACCCATGTCATATTTGGAAAATATTTGAAGCCGGCCAATGTAATTGACCCCCATCAAAACAAATATTCAATATGGTATATGTCCAGTCTTTTTTAGTAGCCACTTAGTAACAAATACTGGCCAAAGATAGCATTTATATTTGTTTGTGTGTTAAAAATGCAAAAAACTATTATGAACACTAACTTTGGCAAGTATTTTTGACTAAATGGCTACTAAAAAAGACTGAACATAACCAATTTGCAATACCTTGGGTTGTCTTCTTTAGCAAATGGTATGCCATCATGGGGGTAATTCTCATTCCTGGGCTACCATACGCTCTCAAAGGCAATGTAACTAATCTGGCAAATTTCTATGTGAAAAAACGCTAACACTATAAAACCTGTACATGAGGGGTACTGTTATACTCGGGAGAGTTTGCTGAATACAAATATTAGTGTTTCAAAACAGTAAAACGTATCACAACAATGACATCATCAGTGAAAGTGCCATTTGTGTGTGAAAAATGCAAAAATCATCACTTTCACTGACAATATCATTGCTGTGATATGTTTTACTGTTTTGAAACACTAATATTTGTGTTCAGCGAAGTCTACCGAGTAAAACAGTACCCCCTATGTACAGGTTTTAGGGTGTCATGGAAAGTTAAACATAGTGCAAGCAAATTAAATTCTCTGGACTTTCGGCCTGGGTTGTCAGGCAGGTCCCCCAAATTGCAATCAATAAAATTATTTAATTATGTAAAAATATTACATAAATATGCATGTAGAATTTAAATATATATACATATTTATATATTTGAATTCTACGTGTATATTTATGAAATTATTTATGTAATCATGTATATGGACATATGTATATTATGTATTATTTTTATTTATTTATATATACATAGATCACCATTTAAATGCAGATTTTAATTTCTGAAAAAAAGTAAAAAACTTTAAATTGATCCGTCCAATATTTACCTGCGGAGCGTAATTCATGGAATAAAACTGCACAGGTAAATTCTGAACAGATTGATTTGTTCAGTGTGGGTAAACAGGAATTTAGTTTCGACGAACCATCTCAAACTAATTTTTTCACAAGTCTAGTAGTTTCAACAATCAGACGGTTGTCTCTGGGCATTGGAGGTGAGTTTAAACAACCCCTCTCAGTCAAAGGCTGCGACAAAGCTACAAATGACAATTTATTTTGAAATACCCCTCTTCCAACTTCAGCAGGTCTGACATCATGTGTTGAAAATTTTAATGACGAGAACACTTAATATTAGATGCACATAGAATATATTACTTTCTTTCATTTATAGGAGTATTGATTATGCTTTTCAACATTTAGATGCATACCTTGTTTAGCCACCGAGAAAAACAGATTTCTGTAACACAAAGCGTTTAGCCTTTTTTCCATCTTATAAATGTAATGCACTGATTGATATAGGAATAAAAAGAAAATACTCCCCCAAAGCGTATAGTAACACATAACTCACCCTCACACCCAGTCATTTGTTACGATATTCCTGTAGCTAATTATATTACACATCTGATTACGCAAAATTTGCTGTTGATATTTGAGAATTTGTATCCCCAAAAAAACCAAACTATATGTTCTCATTCTAAAGTCTGAAAGGTTGTGACATTTGCCTTCACCAAGAGAAAGGCTCGAGAAAGCTATAGAAACACTGGGCGGTTTAGGAAGAAATGTGAGACGAGACAAAAAGATTCTTAAAAAAATCATTTAAAAAAAAAAAAAAATAGACAAGCTCTCATACATAACAGTGAACCATTTGTTACTGGTGTCATCATCATAAAATTTGAGATCAAAGTTTGAGTAGTGTGTAAATTTCTCCAAAACCACAAGATGACATTATTTTATTTATAAAATCATAATGTATTTTTTGTATTACTTGATTTTAATATTTAATGTTAGGTTGAGGGTTTGTTTATTAATCTGCTGTCGTCATATCAGTCCTTCTCCCATTAACAATATGTCAGACTAGTAGCAACGGAGAGAAAATTAGGCGGTTTCTGTCTCCCTTACCCCACTCCTGCCATATCTGTCCCAGTAGACAAACTGAAGTTAACACTCCAAGGACCACAACCATTAAAGTGAGCTGTAGTGGTTATGGTACATGGAGTGTTCTTTGAATTAACAACAGCAACTACAGAAGCAGCTGCAATAATAACTCATCTCAAGTTGGCAAAGAATACAGGCGTGTTAACCCCTTTTAGGGTCAGAATTGAAAATGCTATTTGTTAGTGAAGAAGATAAATGCTATCAGACATGAAGACTCTGAGATTCATTTTATTCTAAAGTGCAATTGTGCCGATCAGCCAAAATGTATCAGAATCGCAAACCAAATGAAATGGACGAGCATTCCGTTTTGGTTCGTAATTCAGAATTCCACCCAAGGCACAAAAAAAAGAAATGATTGATGGGAAAAAAGATGATTGATGGGTAGTGGGACGGTCACTAAATGTTTTTATTCCGAGATCAATTGAGAAGTGATTACAGAGAGAAAAATGGAGGATCACTAAAAAATAAACCGCCGTTTGCCCAAAATTTGTCCATCACAATTTTTTATTTCTATATTTGGACGAAGTGGTTTGACCTTAACAAAGTCTACAGACATGTCATATTTACCGTTTGATTTCCAGATCTATGACAATTGCATTGCTTTGTGATAACGCAATAATTCTATAAGTCTTTAGTCAAACATGATCTCTACCACACGATTTGCCTTAACGTGTTACCCTTTTAGCAATAAAGTTTAGGAAAACAAATATTTATCTGTGTTCGCTGACATACAAATGTCACTGGCTTTGAATGTCACTAGAATAGCATTTCATTAGTCCTTCATTTCCATAATGGAAAATAATATGGTATGTATTTTCTGCTCCGTATTTTGCAGCACATGTCATTTCTTTTCGGGAGACTGGAATGCAGATGCTGGCAGAAATTACTTTATTCAAATTCTGGTTAAAAATCATTTTAAAATGCCTAACTGTAACAATACAAACTGGGAAAGTTTCTCCAAGAAACCGAGGGTTTAATCACATTGAAAATGATTGAATAATGAGCTGCAGCCATGCGTGGTGAAACACACGTATTGTAGCCGCAGAGAGTGCTGCCCGGGAATCGCATTGTGCATGAAGCCTTCGGAGGGCACGGACCTCTCTCGGCACTCTCCATGCTGATTCCCATTAAATAGAATCGGTCTCTTAGAAACCTGTAGACCCGTAATGAGAAAGCCATCACGGCAGTTCCAATCCCACGTCTAATGCTTCATTTAGAGATTGTAACAGTGCTCGATCTTTAAACTAGGATGTGTGACTAGAAGAACTTTTATTTATTTTACCAGAACATTTTAAACTTTCCCATATCTCTTTTCTGTCATTTCCTATTTTCTGATAATCTTTATATCTTCTATGTTATTTTTTAATATTCATTCTTGGACCATGATTGGCTCTCACTTTTATCTTCGTACTGAGAGTAGGTCTTATCTCCACCATGCCCTGTCTGGCACCCTGTCTGCTTTTGATGATATTGAGAATACATTATTATTGGACTGTATTCGTAGATGAAGTAGAATTCATGTAGAGTTAGGAATCCTATGGACAAGGGGCCGACAGTTGAGATATAATCAAAGACCTGGCACAAGTGGCAAATCTTTAGTTATGATTTACTAATTTAATAAGCATGTAGGGATGTATATAAAAAAATACCCCTTTTGTCTCATTAGAGATATCTTTGCCAGAAGCTCAAGGAAGCAAGGTGAATGGTTAGATTTATGACCCACCTAAGAGGTCTGCCTTGACGTGGCAGGTGGGCATACCCTCTCATGGCCATTGGAGGTAACTAAAAACCTCCATTTGTTTAAAAATACATAGGGATGTGGAAAGAGCGCAGGTAACTTTTTTTCTTTGGTTTTTACTATATTTTATCTATCTATCTATCTATCTATCTATCGGTCTGTCTGTCTATCTATCTATCTATCTATCTATCTGTCTATCGATTTATCTACCTGTCTGTCTGCCTGCCTGCCTGCCTGCCTGCCTGCCTGCCTGCCTCTATCTATTTATCTATCTATCTATCTATCTATCTATCTATCTATCTATCTAGCTATCTCTCTGTCTGGCTGTCTATCTCCCTATGTGTCTGACTGTCTATCTGTCTCTCCTATCTATATCCATCTACACAGAGACACAGGCAACATTTTAAAATTGGGACCGCCAATTTTAATAGTCATTTTGATAGACGTAGCTTTTCACATTTTCCATAGATTGTTCATTAATTATTTCATGTTTCAAGAACATTTACTTTTGTAATAGAGAGAAGCAGAGAGAAAGGTGATAGATAGATAGATAGATAGACAGACAGACGGACGGACAGAAAATATTTTCATTTTCTTGTAAATACAGTACTTTCTTTTTAGGGATATTAGATGGGTCTTAAGAGATAAAAGTTTAGATCTGTATTCTTTCTTCCATATAGATTGATATTAAGAAATGAATTCTATTTTATTATTAATGGACTTGTAAAGACACCCGTGCCGGTAATATTATTTTAATACATCCATATAGTTTGAATGACTGGAAAAGCTATTATACATTCAGTGTCAGCTACAAACATTGCTTTTTACAGACAGGAGATTCAAATTTATGGAATTGTGGATCCTACTGAATGGAAGTTATTACCACGTTCTAATGTGTTATAGAGGAGAGTCCCAGAAACCATTGTGCTACAAAAAAAACATTTTAATGCATTTTAACATGTTAAACTAATAGCTTCCTTAATTGACTCTGTCTATCCCCATTTCTGTGCAGTGGGACTCAATCAATGAAATGGATGAATTCTTCAGCCCAATCCACACATACCAAGTCTGTAACGTGATGACAGCAAATCAGAACAATTGGTTGAGAACCAATTGGGTGCAAAGAGATGGTGCCCGGAGGGTGTATGTCGAGATTAAGTTTACCCTACGAGATTGCAACAGTATGCCAGGAGTGTTAGGCACTTGTAAGGAGACTTTTAACCTCTATTACTTTGAAAGTGACCGGGATCTTGGCACAAGCACACGGGAAAGTCAGTTTCTGAAGATCGACACTATTGCGGCCGATGAGAGTTTCACCAGTGTGGATCTCGGTGTACGGAGACTGAAATTGAACACAGAGGTCCGTGATGTGGGACCTTTGAACAAACGAGGCTTTTATTTGGCCTTCCAAGACATTGGGGCATGCATTGCCATTGTATCTGTCCGGGTGTATTATAAGAAGTGCCCATCAATGGTAAGAAATCTGGCTGCATTTCCTGAAGCAGTAACAGGAGCAGACTCATCATCTTTGGTGGAGGTACGAGGGGAGTGTGTGGGCCACTCAGAAGAGAGAGACACCCCCAAAATGTACTGCAGTGCAGAAGGAGAATGGCTTGTTCCTATTGGGAAATGTGTCTGTAGCGCTGGGTTCGAAGAGCGAAGTGATTCGTGTGTAGGTAAGTTAACATATAATTATCTCCAATTTTGGCCACGCGGTCATGATGCTTTTATTTTGATAAATATATATATATATATATATATATATATAAATAATAATTATGTGTGAGAAATATGCAACCTTGAAAAAATATTGTATCTCCAAAAATAACATTGCATATACATCACACGATTCTTGTTACAGGATGGGAATTTCAAGAGGTGATGGTAATGACTGTACCAAAACAAAATCAGAACGAGACACCACAAACATCTAATACTAATGAAAAAATCTAATCTGAAAACATATTGGTGAATATAATACGAAGCTTCCCATGTGATTGAATTATTGAAGCTGTTAACAGTCTTCTAACTAATATGTATCATATTCACCTACACCAAGAGTGAACACAATGAGTAATCAGGCCCGTGTTGGGTTTAGATCGAGATATCAATAGCGGATGGAATGAGTGTGAAAGGGTATAGCAATTGCTATGGCTGGATATTAATCTGTCACCTATGTATCAGGTACCCTTTTATTAATATTCACACCAACCTCAGTGTTATTTAGGAAGTAGCGTCACATAATAGCTATTCACTCGAATCAGATTAAACTATTCCATTCTATCTATTCCATAAATCAAAGGTCAAACGGTGAGTTAACCCGTGGAAAGGAGATAATTGTGTCTTCTGCATTGAGCATCTTCTATCTTCTTTATCTCCATTTTCTTCCTGCAATTCAGAATGATATTGGATATATCTCTTTCAATATGTGCGATGGAGGTGTATATTCCTAAGAGAAAGGATACTGTATTTCTGTTTAAAGGGATACTCCAACCCAAAAAACAGTGTTTTGAAAAATATAGTAACCGTTGCTCGGCTGGCCTGTCCACTAATTAAAAAATAAATAAATAAAGCTAAAACTCACCTCGATCTAATGCCAAGGACAAGTTCTTCCTTCAGCCCAAACCAAAAGGCAGGGTGAGGGGAGGACAGGGTTGACCAGAGGAGGGACCATGCCGCTCTTGGTTTTCTGGTACCAGCATTTAAATTAAATTAGAGGGGCAAAGGTTTAAAAATAATATCAGGAAGTATTACTTTACTGAGAGGGTAGTGGATGCATGGAATAGCTTTCCAGCTGAAGTGGCAGAACACAGTAAAGGAGTATAACCCCTAAAGGACACATGACATGTGTGACATGTCATGATTCCCTTTTATTCCAGAATTTTGGTTCTTAAGGGGTTAAACATGCATGTGATAGACAGAAGGCTATCCTAACTATAAGATAAGGCCAGGGACTAATGAAAGTATTTAGAATTTTGGGCAGACTAGATGGGCCGAATGGTTCTTATCTGCCGTCACATTGTATTTTTCTATGTTTCTATGTAAGCATGCTGTGTTGGCCTCAGATTCCAAATTTGCTCAGAATTATCATGAGCCTGGGCTTGCTCTATGCTGGCTAATAATGCACCAATGATATGGCTGAAAGTAGAGTTACTCATTTGGCAGCAGAGGGGATACATTTTTTATGTGCAGCAGTTTGTATCACTGAAGTCATCTTGGTCCTTGGAGGAACCCTTTAATCGTATTCTATCTCATTCATAATTTTATTTTTATATGAGGGTTTTACCCTTTAAGTTGTAAAGTTCCACAGGTGTCACAATGTAGGGTGAAAGCAAAAATGTTTTTAATGGAGATCAAAAAAGACAAAAAAAGATACAACATTTCAGCCTAGTTGCCTTAGTCATGTGGGCCTCTTGGCCGAAACGTTGTATCTTTTTAATTGTTTTTAATTTCCAATAAATGTTTTTTTTGTCTTCACCCTACATTGTGACGCCTGTGGAACTCTACTTCTTGTTGTTCCTAGTGGGCTGCGGACCCCCCTCCACAAAGCTCCTACATAAACTTACTTGTGTGCCGCACTCCTTTGACTTTATAAACCCTTTAAGTTATGTTAACCTAATATTAAGAGCCAGAAAGATTGTGAAGATTGCCAACAATATCTCTAGCGCGATCCAAAAAAAAAAAAGCTCTTGAAGACTCCTCCTCATGCTTCCTGAATTCATCATCACAGCTCAATCATTGCAAACCATGGATACAAGGTTTCATTGTAACAAAAATAAAATTACTCGAAAAGTAAACTGGTGTTGCAGAGTCAAGTGTGAATGCGACCTCTGTGGACAGATTAAACGATTTATGTCTTGTAGGAAGTCATGAAGTCAGTTTAGTAAAATTATTACCTATAGCTGATTTGGAATAATTAAGCAGGATACCACGATGCAATGTATTATTGACATTGTAATGTCTATGTAATGTCTATGTAAGTAGTCCCATAAAGGCCATCATTTCCACCTTCTCTCTTCGAGAGTGCATTATACAAAGTGACTTAAATGTAGGCAGGGTTGGCGTGAGGTAAGAAAGATGTACATTCGGTAACGCTTATAGAATTGTACTTTTATACTTTCCGAGATGTTTTTACAGTGAGTGAAGATTTTAACAATTTAATGTAATTACATAGTGACCTAACTCTAATTTTTTTTTTTTGGTTTCTCTACCCATAAAATACATGTAAAATAATGCACATTTGTGACAATCAGTTGATTAATGTTAACTGGATAAATGTTGCTTTTATTAAGGAACGTTTTGTTGGATCCCACATTTTACATAAATAACTCACCCAATCGGCATCATTAACAAACTGTTTGTAATATAATCTCTTTGCAGTTAAATAGACCTCTCAAAATAAGAAAAAAGAGATCTACCCATGGAACAAGAGCAGACATATTAATATAAAGAGACATAATATAATTAGAACCCTTCACGTAATATAATGAGATCCCTCCATGTAATAAAATAACAACCCTCCATGTAATAAAATGAGGTCTGCCTATGTAATATAATGAGTTCCGGCCATCTAATATAGTGAGGTCTGTTCATGTAATATTATGAGGTCTGTCCAGGTAATATAATGAGATTCCTCCATGTAATATAACAAGGTCTTTTCATGTAATATAATGAGGTCTTTCCATGTAATATCATGAGATCCCTTCATGTAATATAATGAGATCCCTTCATCTAATATAATCAGGTCTGTTCATGTAATATAATGAGGTTTGTCCATGTAATATAATGAGATCTCTCCATGTAATATAGTGAGATATGTTCAGTAATATAATGAGATCTGTTCAGTAATATAATGAGATCCCTCCATGTAATATAATGAGTTCTGTCTATGTAATATAATGACATCCCTTCATGTAATATAATAAGATCCCTCCATGTAATATAATCAGATCCTTCCATGTAATATAATGATGTCTGTCCATGTAATAAAATGAGGTCTGCCTATGTAATATGAGTTCCCTCCATGTAATATAATTAAATCGCTCTGTGTAATATAATGAGATACCTCCATGTAATATAATGATGTCTGTCCTTGTAATATAATGAGATTCCTCCATGTAATATAATGAGGTCTGCTCATGTAATATAATGAGATCCCTCCATGTAATATAATTAAATGCCTCCATGTAATATAATGATGTATGTCCATGTAATATTATTATATCCCTCCATGTAATATAATGAGGCCTGTCCTTGTAATATAATGAGATCCCTCTATATAATATAATGATGTCTGTCCTTGTAATATAATGAGATTCCTCCATGTAATATAATGAGGTCTGCTCATGTAATATAATGAGATCCCTCCATGTATTAAAATAACATCCCTCTGTGTAATAAAATGAGGTCTGCCTATGTAATATAATAAGATCCCTCTATGTAATATAATGAGGCCTGGCCTTGAAATATAATGAGATTCCTCTATGTAAAATAATGAGGCCTGTCCTTGTAATATAATGAGATCCCTCCATGTAATATAATGAGGTCTGCCCATGTAATATAATGAGATCCCTCCATGTATTAAAATAACATCCCTCTGTGTAATAAAATGAGGTCTGCCTATGTAATATAATAAGATCCCTCCATGTAATATAATGATGTCTGTCCATGTAATATAATGAGATCCCTCCATGTAATATAATGAGATCCCTTCATGTAATATAATTAGATCCATCCATGTAATATAATGGTGTCTGTCCATCTAATATAATTAGATCTCTCCATGTAATATAATGATGCCTGTCCTTGTAATATAATAAGATCACTTCATGTAATATAATGAGATCCCTTCATGTAATATAATGAGGTCTGCCCATGTAATATAATTAGATCCATCCATGTAATATAATGAGGCCTGTCCTTGTAATATAATGAGATCCCTCCATGTAATATAATGATGTCTGTACTTGTAATATAATGAGATCCCTCCATGTAATATAATGAGACCTGCCCATGTAATATAATGAGATCCCTCCATGTAATATAATTAAATTCCTCCATGCAATATAATGATGTCTGTCCATGTAATATAATTAGATCCCTCCATGTAATATAATGAGATCCCTCCATGTAATATAATGAGATCCCTCCATGTAATATAATTCGATCCCTTCATGTAATATAATGAGATCCCTTCATGTAATATAATGAGATCCATTCATGTAATGTAATGAGGTCTGCCCATGTAATATAATTAGATCCCTCCATGTAATATAATGAGGCCTGTCCTTGTAATATAATGAGATCCCTTCATGTAATGTAATGAGGTCTGCCCATGTAATATAATGAGATCCCTCCATGTAATATAATGAGTTCCGTCCATGTAATATCATGAGATCCCTTCATGTAATATAATGAGGTCTTCCCATGTAATATAATGAGATCCCTTCATGTAATATAATGAGGCCTGTCCTTGTAATATAATGAGGCCTGTCCTTGTAATATAATGAGATCCCTCCATGTGATATAATGAGATCTCTCCATGTAATATAATGAGGCCTGTCCATGTTATATAATGATATATGTTTTTGTAATATAATGAATTCTGCCCATGTAAAATAACTGGCAGCACTCACTCAGAATGTGGATTATGAATTTGCCTTAAAGGTGCCTTCCACGATAACAGATCAGAAGGAAAGAGGAGGCTTCGGCCTCTCATTGTTATCATTAAGAGGCATTTTTAAGGCATTGAATACTCCACATTCTACCTATGGTGCTACCTATAAAAGTGCAACTTTTTACATTTTATGACAATATCACACTATGAATTGTTAATTTTTCTGAGTGGTGTTTCTGTTAACTGAGTGTAGTGTGTGAGAGTGTGTGTAGTGGCTGAGGGTTGTTTGTGTAAAGGAGGCTGTGAGCTATATGGGAAGGCTGAGGTTGTCTGTGTG